TGATGTTCTGTTGCATCATTTGACTATTCTATGTTGAATATGAGTTAATAATGAAATGTGAAGGACACTAAGACCTGATAATGTGAGAATACAGACTGTAAGACCCAAAGGAAAACTATGATAGTTGTTGAATGATAGACTTGACGTACTGTATAGAATAATGTGTATGGAATTATGGATAAGCGTAATAGGGCATCCAGATTTCCAAGATGTTCCTAGTCATATAGACGAAGACATCTGTTGTGGGAAGTTGATAGAGATACAATATAACATCAATCATATGCGTGTGTTGCTCTGATGAGAGGTTGAAAAATGATATTATAGGCCTGGAGCCATAAAAATTTAAGGGTTTGGGATCCTAGATATTCCTCATCAGGTGTCTGTCTTACTGGTCTGAATTCCATATAGTTTTTTGGAAATTGCCAATCTTGTTGTGTGGTTGTGATTGTAGGATGTTGGACTCTCCGATGAGTCTAACCTTAGGATGTTTGTGAATGAATAAGTGTCATTTGTAATGTTACATTGTTCTACATGTTTAATCAAATGGTAGTTTACCCTTACTTTTGTTGTGTGTTTGGGAACCTGCTATGATTGTGTTATACATATGAGTATATTCCAAATCTTCTGCAGGTGGTAGTAAGACCCAGTGATTTGAGAAATGGAGTAGAGACCTCCTAAATTTGAAGGAGTTACTTTATATTATGTAATTATGCGTAAAACATTAGTGTAATTATAACTTTTGATGTGTGATATTTTTCAACTATTCTGGATGACTGTAAACTGAACTATTATACTTCTTATAGGTGAAAAAATTATTTTCTTCCTTCCTTTAGTGAAAATTTTAACTAGAATTTGCCAGTTATTACAAATTGGTATCAGAGCGGTAGTTTCTAGGAAACCTTAGGGTTATGGACCTACTATGTTGACTGCGTGTAGACTTAAAATAGTTGTAGTACATTATAGAATGATAATTTTTGCTTTCTTCTTATGTTTAGGATGGCTCGTAGACCACCTCCCCAGCTTCAGCCTCAACCCCAGTCTTACGTGAGCTAGATACTAAGAGCCATTAAAGTAATGGTCGTTTCCATGCAACAACAAGGAGTAGTAATGACACAACAACACCAGGCTGTTATGCAAGAATTGCAAGCATCAAGGGAGGTCACTGCAGAGGCAACAGCTGCAGTAGCAGCAACTTCTAACCCCACTCCAACTTCCTCCTCTAGTCAACCACAAGGGCAGACAATGTTGGCTGGCTTCTTGAAGCACATATTGCTTAAGTTTTCAGGAGATTCTACCCTAGATCAGGTGGATATGTGGATGGAAGGAATAGAGAAGATCTTTGATGTTATGGAGTGTTCTGAGGATAATAAGGTTACTTTTGTTGTATATCTGTTAGTAGGGGAGGCTGGATTTTGGTGGGAAGGGACCAAGAGATTGATGATTGCCAGAGACAAAGCTATCAGTTGACAAAACTTCAGAGAGAAATTCATGGGAAAGTATTTCCCACGCAGTGCACGATTTTTTAAGGAGGCAGAATTTCTGAAGTTAGAGCAGGGAGATCTATCAGTGCATGAGTATGCTACTAGATTTGAGCACCTGGCCATATACTATTATCAATCAAGCACTGAGGCATGACTATGTAACAAATTTGAGGAGGGTCTGAGACAGAAACTGAAGGAGTTTGTGGTGCCGATGTTTGTGACCGACTTTCCTGTTCTGGTTGAGAGGGCTAAGACTGCAGAGAGACTGGTAGCCGGTAGAGCCAAGCCAGTTGTACCACCGGTATCTGGGCCCTCAGACAGCAGAGTGGGGTATTCTAGCAGAGCTAGATCCCATTATGGCAGTAGGAGGCGGGAGAGGAGGGTCCTATATGCCCGCCCTTTTCCCAGGAGGGAATATGCTCATACTTCTCACTAGTCAGGTGGGAATAGCCAGTTTATAGGGAGGAGCTTACCTTCCTTCCAGCATCAGTAGACCCGAGGTCCTATTAAATGCTACAGGTGCCAGAAACTGTAGAGAGGATTTGTCAGTAGCTCCATCTGGGAGCCAGTAGACTGGAGGTCAGAGAAGGGAGATCAGACCAAGAGCAGCCAACAGGGTCTTCACCATTAAGGGAGCAGAAGCTAAGAAGTCCAGTGACTTAGTCCAAGGTTTGTGTTTCCTCTTTGGTCGCAAATTGAAAGTTTTGTATGATTCGGGAGCGACACACTCCTTTGTGTCACTTGATTGTGTTGAGAGACTAGGTTTACCTATTAGGGATCTTACCTGTGAGTTGTTCGTGTCTACACCAGTGGCTGATATGGTGGTTGCATCCAAAGCTTGTTGTGGATGCCCTTTAGTGGTAGAAGGTCGCAGATTTAGAGTGAATTTGATATGTTTGCCCCTCAAAGACTTAGATGTGATCCTAGGTATGGACTGACTAGTCCAGAACAAGGTTTTGATTGATTGTGGGCAGAAGAGACTATTGTTTCCCGAGTCAGAGGAGTTTGAGATGTTGTCTATCTCCCAAGCTTTGAAGGAGATCTAAGAGGGAGCCCACTGTTATGCTATCCTAACTCATATGAGACAACCAAACGAAGATATTAGATTAGAAGTCCCAGTAGTAAATGAATATGTTGATGTATTCCCAGATGAAGTGTCGGGGTTACCTCATAGGAGGGAGGTCGAGTTCTCCATATACCTTATACCTGGAGCAGGACTAGTGTCTATGGTGCCTTACATGATGACTCTAACTGAATTGGTTGAGCTAAAGAAGTAGATTGAGGGGCTGTTGGATAAGAAATTGATCAGACCCAGTGTGTCCCCTTGGGGAGCACCAATGTTGCTTATTAAGAAGAAAGATAGATACTACAGATTGTGCATTGACTATAGGCAGCTGAACAAGCTTACAGTCAAGAATAAATATCCTCTACCCCGGATAGATGACCTATTGGATCAGTTGCACATGGCAGTAGTATTATCTAAGATTGACCTGAGGTCGGGGTATTATCAGATTCTGGTGAAAGAGGGAGATATTCCGAAAACTACCTTTAGGTTTAGATATGACCACTTTGAGTTCTTGGTCATGCCGTTTGGAGTGACGAATGCGCTAACCATCTTCATGGACTACATGAATAAGATCTTTCATTCCTTTTTGGACAAGTTTGTTATCATCTTCATTTGACATACTTATCTAGTCACGCTTGCATAAAAAAACATGAACATTATTTGAGAATAGTGTTGAAGATCTTGAAGAAGAGACAACTGTATGCTAAACTATCCAAATGTGAGTTTGGGATGAAATACATCAAATTCTTAGGGCATATAAAAAAATCCTAATAACACTTGTTTTTCAAATAAATTTTATATTATTATTATTATTATTATTATTATTATTATTATTATAATTGTTGAATGGACGATATGATACAAATATAAAAGTAAAAAAATTTATAACTTAACTCGATCTATATTTTAAAATGAGTAAAATAATTTAATCTAATCTAATTTTATTAAATTAATAGATTAATACTTTTTGTCTTAAATAATATTAAAAAAATCATTAATTATAAAAATAGATATAATCATTTTATTTATTTAAATAAATTTATTTATTGTGTAAAGTCAGAATTGATTATGGACAAATACATATATTTATATATTTAATAAATACATATTTATATAATTATATATTTAATTAATACATATTTATATATTTAAATATTTATATATAATTAATAAATATTATATAATAAAATATTTAATAAATAATGTATATTTAATAAGGACATATTTATATAATTATATAATTATATATATTTAATTAATATATATTTATATATTTTATATGTTTAAATATAATTAATAAATATTATATAATAAGATATTTAATAAATACATATATTTATATATTTAATAAATAAATATTTATAAAATTATATATTTGTATATATTTTAATATTTGAAATATATAAATATAATAATTTTAATTATATTAATATATATATATATATATATATTTAAATATAAGCATATAAATATTTAAAATATAGTAATATTTACTTATATCATATATATATATATATAATATTTTTTTAAGTCATAAATATAAGTTATTGGGATAAAAAGATAGTTTGAAATTTTGACTATTTTTATGATTCCGTGACAAATTCTTATTGAAAATTCGGTTCTCGGAGTCCAAGGGTAAATAAAACGAGAAAAAAATCTATTTTCATAATTAATAATATTTCAGACAAAAAGTCACATATGGGCTTTGAGAGTTGATTAAATTTTTAAAAAGTATTAATATATTTATAAAAAATAATTAATTTAAAAATATTTAAATAAAAATTAAAAATATATTTTTTAATAAAATTAATTTTTATTTAAGATATAATAATTTAAATAAATTATAAGATAATTTATTTAAAAATTTAAAATAAGAATTACAAACTTTTAATTATTATTATTATTATTTAACTTTATTAATTTAAATTTATAATTAATTTTATTTATTATATTTTAAAACAAATAATAAATAAATATTTATTTTTATAATAACGGAATATCTTTTAAATTAATTATTAATATATATATATATATATATATATTAATAAAATAATATTTTTTATTTATAAAATAATAATTATTTTATAAATTGAGTGATCCATATATCTAAGTGGCAGCCTCCGCTAAGCCCATATACTATAGCGTAACTATTTTATTCAAGTTATCGTAACTATTTTAACTTAACCTATTTCTCGTAATTTTGAAATGTCAGACGAGTGAAGCCCTACAGCCTACTTACCAGCATTTTTTAAGTTATTTAATTATTTTTTATTTCTATCAATAATATTCATGTTCAGAGTTTAGTTGTCCCACGTCACTTCCTCTATCCAAAACCAGTAAGAGGTGACTAAGCAAAAGAGTAAAAGTGCCGCCACTGAGTTTCTACTTCTCCGAACACACACCACTGTTTGTGCGTTGCACCACTCAACTCTCTCTCTCTCTAGGGTTTTGCCATGGCCACCGTCATTCGCAACCCTCTCCTGGTTCCCTCCACCTCTCACCACAACAATCTCAACCACAAAAACAGCACCGTATTGCTCACCCTCCGTTTTCCTCAAACTTCATTACGACACTCTTCTCACCGATTCAAATCCCGATTCACTGTTTCCTGCTCCCAATCCGAACCTTCTTCGCGGCGGCGTCCTCCGTATATCCCTAACCGCATTCCCGATCCTTCTTATGTCCGCATTTTCGACACCACTCTCCGCGATGGCGAGCAGTCCCCTGGCGCCTCCATGACCTCCAAGGAGAAGCTCGACGTGGCGCGCCAGCTCTCCAAGCTCGGCGTCGACATCATCGAGGCTGGCTTCCCCGCCGCCTCCAAGGACGACTTCGAGGCCGTCAAGACGATCGCGCAAGAGGTCGGAAACGCCGTCGATGACCACGGTTACGTTCCCGTCATCTGCGGGCTCTCGCGCTGCAACGAAAATGACATTCGAACCGCCTGGGAGGCCGTTAAGTACGCCAAGAGGCCCAGGATTCACACCTTCATCGCCACCAGCGCCATTCACATGGAGTACAAGCTCAGAATGTCGAAAGAGAAGGTCGTCGAGATTGCCCGCAATATGGTCAAGTTCGCTCGCAGCTTGGGCTGCGAAGACGTTGAGTTCAGCCCTGAAGATGCTGGAAGGTTACTGTTAAAATACTCACTATCGTTGTCACTGTTTCATTAACTCTTGATCAAGCAATGTTTTAAAAATAAGGTCCGCGATGAGGTCAAAATGTTAAGCTTTTTGGATTTTGCAATTTTCTGCAAGATCAAGGATACTACAAATCGTGAATTCAGTTTAAATAAATCCTTGGTGCCCGCATTAGCAGCATCTGACCCCTAATTCCCTCAATATGATTTAAAACCTTGTGTTTAATACTGTAAATTTTCATTGATCAACAGTTTCAGTTTGGATACTGAGTGTTGTGTTTTTTCTGGTGTTTCTTCTGCTTATCAGGTCGGATAGGGAGTTTCTTTATGAAATTCTTGGAGAAGTTATCAAGGCAGGGGCGACCACGCTTAACATACCTGACACTGTTGGTATAAACTTGCCAAGCGAATTTGGAAGGTTGATTGCTGATATTAAAGCTAATACCCCTGGAATTGAAAATGTAATTATTTCCACCCACTGCCAGAATGACCTTGGACTTTCTACTGCAAATACTATCGAGGTATGTTCATAGTTGTTATTAAATCTTTAACAATGCATGCAACGAAATTGGATTCTGAGTTTGTGTGTTCTCGGATGCTTGCTTCAGGGTGCACGTGCTGGTGCAAGGCAGCTGGAAGTGACTATTAACGGGATTGGTGAAAGGGCTGGAAATGCCTCCTTAGAAGAGGTGAGAGTCCAATTTTTGTTGTCCAGTTGATGCAAGTAACATATGTTACTGGAGCATGATCATTTGATGTTTCTATGCTTCAAAACTTGTTTATTTCTTTTTTGAAGGTTGTGATGGCCCTGAGATGCGGAGCACATGTCACTGGCAATCTCTACACTGGAATTAATCCAAAGCACATCTTTCTGACGAGCAAGATGGTTTAATATCTGAAACTGATCTTTCTCTTATTTCATCTCCCTTTAAAGACCTTTATCGATTGTTCCATTCATCATGACCTTTACCTGTAGGTCGAAGAATACACTGGTTTGCAGTTACAGCCACACAAGGCTCTTGTGGGAGCTAATGCCTTCGCCCATGAAAGTGGCATACATCAGGTTCGTTATGTTAAATACATATATCCATGTATATCATGTAATAGGAGTTAGAACTTGGGTACCTAACATTGTATGATGTTGAGGTTTATAATTAGTGTGTGTATGCTAGAAATGAGTTTTCTTAGTGGTGTCTTTTTCTCTCGCATGTATTCGCTAATTACTGACTGATAAAATGACATGTCTTAGAGGAAGCTACTTAGAATATTGACCAAAAGTTGGGATTAGTTGTGTCATGGGACAAAAGGCGACAAGGCTGCAGCCTTTGTGACTTCGTGATGATGTTTTCTACTAGTGAAAAAGCATCCTCTCTGCCCACGTGTGTAATGTTGGGTGCATCTAATTCTCTCAAAAACCTGACATTGGTGGCGGCCTCATGCACTGGGCTTCACTGCCCCTCCCTCTGTTTCTTTCCGGCATTCCATGTGAATCTTATACATATTGCTAAGTTACTTGGAGTCCTTTTTTTTTTGCTTTACTAAATTAAGAGAAAAATAAAGCCTTCAGTGGTGTGATTTTACCATCCTGGTCCAATTTGGCTTTTACATCCCACAGTCACCTTAGAATTTTTCTTTAATTCCTTTTTACACATAAACCAAGATAGTTGAATTGGTATACAACTCATGAATCAAAAGGCCAAATTTCTGAATGGCTACTCATATTGTGAATAGTAAGATTCATGGTCTATATAAAACATAACATCAATATGTGTAGAATAAATATAAAAGCACAAACATAACATGTATAGATATATAAGTCGTAAGAAAGTCATGAGGAATGAAAGCATGCATAGGCATATTAGCACTTTGAAGTCAAATAACTAACAAATGGTCATACAACAAATATTGTCTAAATAATAACAGATACTAGACCAATAAAAGTGGTTACCAACTGCACAATTTCATCAAACAACTATTGTTTGCTGCTGCACAATTCAGCGACATATACTCCCAAAAACAATGTCTCCGTATAATTCTGCTGCACAAATCAAGCAGTTATAGCCTAGAAAAAGTCCACAAAACTCTTATCAACATCAGTCATTTCATCTTCGTATTCAGCTATCAAAAGTTCATCCCCTTCCTCAATGTCTTCAATTTCATCCTCATGTTCTATTGTGGATTTTGGCCTTGGCATTCAAGTTTCTTGGACCTCTTTTTGTTTTTTTGCTCGGAGGTCCCTCATTAACATCAAAACACTCATGTACGTCCATCCATCATGAGTCATTGCGTCAATAGGTAAGCAAGGACTTCCTTTTCGGTTCCATTTATCATCTGGTTTAATATCTGAGAAGCATATGGGATAAGTCTCCCCTTTCTCTTCTTTATTCCTTTGCCTCATCTCAAGTTGGAAACATGATAGCAGAACCAGGTGTCTTTGTGGGAAGGTGAAAATAAAGAATGCCAAACAGCTGTACCAATAGGTGAGTGTCTCAAATGGAGGAGACATGTGTTGGTGCAGAGGGGGAAACTGGCACATTCCCCTCTCTTTTTGCATAGCAATTTGAATAAATAAGTGTTTTTTAATGATTTTTCAAAACTGGGTCATGCCTCCCGACCCATTATGAATGCAAGTCATTTGGCCCAGAATGATACTGGAGAAATCGTGATTCTATTCCAATTCATGCAATATGGGAATTGCATACCGATACACCATTGCGACGTACAATTCTAACTACACTGATATAAACATTTAAATCGACCATTTCCTTTACAGAAGGCACAGCCAAAGTTCATTCTATGTTTTTCCATGGATGCAGCACCTTTCTTTTGTCCGCATTAGTTCTAGTGCATTTTACTTTTGGGAGAATTCCAAAAGTTACTGTAGATGCCATATGAAAGGAGAAAATTTACTTGGCGTAGTTATTTAAATCAAAATATGCAGAAGAAAACCACTTTAGTGTTCTCTCTTTGTGGTAAATATATTTAAATCTGCTTCCTTGTAATAATACTTTACTGTTCTCTCACTGTCCTTTGAATTAGCTCTTTCTATTCAAAATTGTTGTAGGATGGAATGCTAAAACACAAAGATACATATGAAATAATATCCCCTGAGGACATTGGGATTGAAAGAACAAATGAAGCTGGTATTGTACTGGGGAAGCTTAGGTATAAAATTTTCTTTTCTCTAGAATGCTTATATCTGAATGGGTCTTGTACACCTTGCTAATCCCTATTTTCTTTTCAATTTTTGTGTGTTCAATTGCAATATATACCGTCAGCATGACATGATGAAACAAGTTGCAGTGATAGTTTAGTTTATCCTTCTATAAAGCTGTTACAAAGTGATTCTTAAAGCATGGTTTTGCTATTTTACCATTTTTTGTTTATCACTAAACTCTTTTGAGTTGTCTTAATGTGTATACTTGCTGCCAAACAAAATGTGAACTGAATTATTTATGCCTGGATATTGAGAATCCCACGTACAAGGGAATGCTGGTCGTCTTTGATGTTGTTGATCTAAGCTTCAAAATATCACACCATGTTCTTCAACTTAATGAAAAGCCCTTTAGTCTTTTGCCACTTATTGGGAATTGAGAGTGTTCACCACACCATCTTTAAGTTGCATAGAGAGAACAGCTCACATGCATGAGGTAGAAACATAGAAAGCCCATAGGCATATTGTCAAGTGTCTCATATTACTAACATAATTTTATTCATACATTTTGGAAAATGTTTTTTGTCAGATACAGCATGGTTTACAAAATGTTGATCAGGAAGTTGCCTTGCTGATAATATAAATTTGAGTCCTCTTTTCTTAACACAAGAAAACATTATGACTCTAGCTTTCTGGACCTATCTAAATCCTCATGGTGCAATCTTACTGGTTATATTTGAGTTGGTGTGTGATAAATTTTCTGACTTTGGCATGGTGAAACTCTGGAAGCAATGATGATTCTCTGCCTGTTTATTTTGAACTCAGAATCATCATACTTGTTCGTGGTGTCTGTTCCATGCCTGTGGTAGACCTCCAAGAATGTTATAGTTTTTGACACTTGACAGCAGTGGAGAACTGAGTTATATACTTCAAATGCATGGATTCTGAAATTTACTACCAGACCCTCATAGTATTAGATTTCACCTGTAGGTTATGGTAATGCTAGGATAACCTAATCTATAAAATACTTTGAGTAAATTGCATTGTTTGATGTTTCATGCATTGGCTATCTGACATTTTGGGTATCTACATCTAATTATGGAACTTATATGTAGCTTAATAATTAACATTTCTATAGTTTGTCTTTCTGCTGTATTCAAAAGACATGTCTCTTTATTTGTTGTTTGTTGCATTGTTATGTCTCTTTCTTCATTACTGCATGCAATCAATTTGTGCACTCTTTTATCTTCTCTTCATAATTAACACTTCTATTACTACTTTTTGCAGTGGTCGCCATGCTTTGAGAAAGCGACTTGAAGAGGTATACAAATATTTGGATTCAAACTGTAATTTTTTTTCCCCCTGGTTTTGAGTTATTCTCTGCCTTTTCAGCTTGGTTATGAACTTAATGACGACCAAGTTCAAAGTTTATTTTGGCGTTTTAAAGCAGTGGCTGAGCAAAAAAAGGTAAATTACAACCAATGATCTTCTTACCCTTTCTAGTGTTACTGATGGTACTATCATACTATGCGAGTCATTGGATCTGGCTATTGTTGACTGAGTGTATAAGTTGGACCTAATTGTATTTTGGTATGTAATGTTTGATATCAAGAAATTAATTTGGCCAGTGATAAATAAAATTAGTCTCTTTTGTGTATGGCATCAAAGTTGTATGATGAGGTAATGGGTTCTGTATCTGATGGATGGATGGTGATTAACTTGCTTTTATTTTGTATCAGAGGGTTACTGATGCTGACCTCAGAGCATTGGTATCAGATGAAGTTTTTCAAGCAGAGCCTGTCTGGAAACTTGGTGATATACAGGTAAATTGATATATGCTTTTAAATATGATATAATGGCTTAGAAATAATATAACAAACATAAGCTAATTAATATCTATCCGGTGCAGGTGACTTGTGGAACTCTTGGTCTTTCAACAGCAACAGTCAAACTTCTGAGTAATGATGGTAGAGCACATGTGGCATGTTCTGTTGGTACAGGACCAGTGGATTCGGCTTACAAGGCTATCGATCTGATTGTGAAGGTTTGGAATTGTATATATTTATTGTTGCTTGTTAGGTTATTGAATTTTGACATGTTGCATCAAGAAATAATATTTTTGGTTTATTATTGCCGCCAAACCTGTAATTCTAGTCAGCATAGCCAAGTATTGCTTTCAGGTGCTTCAATCTAGAAATAGAATAAAAAATAGCTGTCTTATGGCAGACTGTAAATCTTTAGATGTTTCCTGATTTCCCTTGCACTTTTAATTGAGTTATACTGGAATTGTTATCACTATTGGTGTGATGGAGGAATCTGGTGCTCTTAATTTTTTATGCAGGAGCCAGTAACACTTCTGGAGTACTCTATGAATGCAGTCACTGAAGGCATTGATGCGATTGCCACTACCCGGGTTGTAATTCGTGCTGAGAGTGAGACAAGTACCTCTACTACTCATGTTTTAACTGGAGAGACTGTTCTCCGAACATTTAGGTATGATGAATTCTAAAGTGGATTACTTCCCGTGTATCTTGATCCTTCTAATGATCCATCGACATGACACTTATTTTCTTTTTTTATAGTGGGACTGGAGCGGGAATGGATGTTGTTGTTTCGAGTGTCAAGGCCTACATTGCTGCACTAAACAAGATGTTGGGTTTCAAGGAAACATCTCCATCTGCTGAAAAAATACCAATTTCTTCATTGGAGATCTGAGATTATGTGTTGCTGCTTTGATAACTGCTGTGTGTTCAACCATAAAGGGGAAGACAAAGTGGTATCAGCATCCTCACCTTTTGCAAGTCTTCGTATTAAGGTTTGCAGTCGATAATTTATTGATTCACCCAAGTAGCCTTAGCAAAATATATAACTAGTCCGTTTTAAATATTCACGCTGTAAGGTCTTACCCTCTTAATATTTTAGGTGCTTTCTATTTGAAGTTATAAATGTGTTTAAGATTTGGAGTGTCCCCGTATGTTCTAGACTGAAGGCATCTTACGGTTTCGGCTTTTGGCTGTAATAAGGTGCAATGGGACCTTTTGTTGGATCAATGTAATATTTGTCAAAATCCAAAAAATTGAAAGCCTATGGCTGTAAATTTGTGTAGAAGTCTCAAATCGGACCAGAAATGCATACCACTTTAATTTTAACACGGAATTAAGTACAAGAGTTGCTGGTATATAATAAATTGAGATTATCACTATTGAATATTGGTCCAAATAAGAGGGATTTGAAACTATCAAGCATTCGATTTTGGACTTGAAACTACAACGCATGCGATCTTGGAATAGAATTGGTTTTATGATTTACGCGTATAGAAAATATACCGTTGAAAAGATACTAGTATATGTATTCTATTACCTTTTATTTCGTATAGTGTCTCCTTATTTTAATTTGAAACTGTAAAGATAGTAATTTAGAAGGATAAAATCCTTAGCATGGATTTAGAGGAGTGGGGATTGTAGTCTGGTTGAATCATGTAAAAGTGGTGCAAAACATTAGAGAGGAATCATGGCAAGATTGAACCTCTAATTTTTCAAGCAGATTAATTGGCTTGCCTAAAAATATGGTAAACAAGGATTTTATTTAGTTTAAGTAAACATTATTGTTAGGAAGAAAGAATATACTCTAAACTTTCGTGGTTGTCCTTCCTTGTTCTTAATGAGATGCCAGTGTTGGATCCATCTTTGAGTGGTGGTTTAATCATTCTCAGCTGTCAAATTCCCTCATCATGAAATTTTAGATGTTGATGGAATTTCTACCACTACTGAAACAAATTTTTCTGAGGTAGACATTTGATCGTACATGATGCTTTTTAAAAACCTAGACAGTATTTGATTGACTCGGAGGTTGGCAATGTTTGGATGATACGGATACAAAATACACCCAAATTTAGTCAGACATACGAAAGTATTATACCCATATACTTGAGAGACCAACAATAATCTAAACTTCAAAAAATGCAGCAACACATCAGTTTTGACTACTTTCTTAGCCACATGCTGCATCCACACCCACTACTCTTCTCTTTTGTTATACATGTTAAAGACTTCACCCACACAAAGCAAAATCAGAAAAGTATTTGGTTTTAACTAATTACAATAATTATTTAGAAATTCTCCATTAACAAGGCAAAAGTTTTAACACTCACTACCCATACGTATGGCCTTTTAAGTAGTTTGTGTAAAAGTTAATAAATTTATTATTCGTCACTGTTTTATTAAACATTAGTGTAAATAACATTCATAAACTTATTTCTCATGGATTTGACACATGTTTTATTTTATTTAATATTTTTCAAAAACATTTTTAACCTAACTATTTTTTTACATCATTTTATTCATGTGCTTTTGCAAAATGTAAAATAATTTTATTTGAATTATGTCTTTATTATAATTGGTATCATATTAAAAAAAATGGTTTATGCCTGACAAATATATGTGTCCTTGAAAAAATTATATTGAATCAATTTGTAATGTAATATTTCTTTGGCATGTACCAAAGGTATCGAATACATTTCGATAAACTATTTACTTAAACATTTATTCAATATTGTTATCGAAGACTTATTCCATAAATTAATCCCATCATAAAGTTAATTAAAAAAAATTAAAGAGAGCTTATTTTGACAAGCCATTAGGAAATTTGTTGAAATTATCTAAAAAAAAAAACTTACTACAGTCATAAACTATTTTCATAAAGTAATTCTATATATTCATTTTTTTTTAAGTGTACAAATATCTGAAACAATTTGTATTTCTCCTCACATTACCAGAATCGGATTTTATTCAGCATATTTAAACAACTTAAACAACTATATTATTTATCAAATGTATATGATATTATTAGTTATAATGATTGTATTATGAGAACAGAAAAATGAAAAAAAATATATTAAAGATATATTTAATTGACCTTAAAAGACACATAATTTAGAGTTATAAAAGAGTTATAAAACCTACGTGTGTTTCTGTTAAGCGTCAAATGTTAAAGGGTATATATGTTTGTATTGTATCAAACAAAACCACAATATGTGAAAATATGATGACAATTCATGAAAAAAAAAACACATGACAATGATCTTGTCTTATTAACCTCACCATATTCTTTAAGGATTAAATTTTGGACCTATCTAAAAAAAACATTTTTATTCATTTCAATGTACTTTCTACTTACGAGTATAATAATAATAATAATAATAATAATAATAATAATAATAATAATAATAATAATAATAATAATAATAATAATAATAGTAATAATAATAATAATTAATCATGTCTTTGAAATTCATTAATAATTCTGGACAGGTTATAATTCGTTTAGAGAAAGAGTAAGCTGGTAAAAATGATTCATGCAGTTTTATCTAACAAATACTATTTAATTAATTATAATTATACTTAAATATGCTTTTAGTTTTTATAAAATAATTGTTTTCAATATTGATGATTTCGATGATGTCATGTTCTTTTTCATTAATTTTAGTTTTTTTTTAAATAAAAAAAATTACTATCTCTATTGTTATATATTATTTATTTATTTATTCTAAAATCAACATTAAAGACTAAAAATAATGATTTTAAAATTTCAAAGAATAAAAAAATAAAATATTATTTCACAAAAATTAGAACCAACATCTATGAGAGTAAAACAAATCCACATCAAAATTCAGTGAAGAAAAAAAAAACAAAAAATCACTTCAAACCTACACAGTGTTTTGCTCCATGGTCAAGTGATATAAACGTATTACTACTATGTCAAATGTGGAATATTCCAGCTTAAGAAATTTTGGATCCTTGCATGCTATCTTAATAAAACACTGTTTTAATTACTCGTTTCGTTTCATTGTTTTAATTACAAGAAATCTTTTGTTTTAATTTCTAAAGTTAAGACCAATTTCCTTGAGACTTTTTATTTTAGCAAAAACAAAAATAATAATATTTTTAGTATAGAGGTTAAATTTAAAAAAATTATGAATTTATTTTATTCAGTTGAGTTTGATACGTGTTTTGATGTATGAGAGAAGCAAAAGGAATCACGAAAATAAATTATATAAAACAAAATAGAAGCATGTGAAAAAAAGCAATAAGACGAAAGAGTAGTGATATTTTGACAACCAAAAATCATATATCTTTTTAATTAAAATAATCTATAGATTTATTTAAAAAAATAAAAATAAAATAAAACTATTATTATAATATTAAAACAGAATTATTTACAGGAATTATATGGATTTGGGTTGAAAGTATTTGAATAAGTATTTGAATAAGAAAGGCTTTCATAAAAGAAAACAGTGTCACTAGAATGCTTTGATAACGGATCCATTTAATTAATTATTTTATAATTGTTGTTAAATTTCATTGTTTTTTTTTTAAGACTGTAAATAAAATAAAATCATTGTTTTAAAATATGTATACAATTTGTCTGCTATTTTTTAAGCTCAGGAATTGAGAAATTTTGGAACAGGGAATTTGGTTGAATTGAAGTATTTGAATATATAATTAGGTTTAAATTGGTTAAACAGTTAATTAAGAAAAAATAAAAAGGGAAATGTAAGATTGGATTGGTGAGGAGTTGTTTGTAGCTTTGCGTGTGCGTTCGGTGGGTGGGTGGTGTGTGCGTATCAGTATCAAGTATCAGTGACGGTGGGTGAGCGTGCGCTGGTGGTAGCAATGGAAGAATCGTCGATTGAGGAATCAGTGGCGAGCGTGATCGAAGAAGCGAAGGAGGTTCAGGAAGCAGTTTCTGCGCACATCTCTAAATCCTCCGCCGACGAGGAACCTCTCCGCCAGCGTGTCCGTCGCGTCGATTCCAGAATCCACTCGCTACGTTCCTCTCTCGATTCTCTCCTCTCCAGCAAACTCATCGCTCCCTCTTTAGCCGATAAGGTTAATTTATAATTAATACACTCTCTCTCTCTCTCTCTGTCTTTAATTCTACAGTTCAATTATTGTTTCCCTCATTTAATGGATCTCTTTGTTGGTTGCAGTTGGATGAAGATTTGCAGAGAGCCAGATGCATCATCGTCGATGGTGAGGCTTCATCGCTTCTCCCTGGCCATGCACAAGGTACCTTTTCTTCGCATATCTAATAATCAATCCACTTGTTTTTTTTTTTTTTTTTTCATTTAACGTCACTTATGTTATCTATTCGAATTCAATTCAATTGCTTTAGGAAGCTTTTTGAGGATGTTTCTGGGACCTATCAACGTGCGTGCCTCCAGGAAGGATGTTCAGCTCAAGGTCAAAGAGGAATACAACAGTTACAGGGTATGTATATATATTTATATACTCATATACCTCTCTCTCTCTCTCTCTCTCTCTCTCTCTCTCCTCATGCACTGTTTCTAGTTGTGAAAAATTCCCATTTGCATCCTTGTTTCGCGCAATTATATGTTTATTTGAAAAATTGTTTGCGGTTTTAGACCACGTTTGTACTTGTTTTATGCTGTATGTTTTTCTCACGCAATTATCTTTTTCTATCGTTCCATCTTGATTGATGTTTTTCCTATCCCTGTCTCCTTTATTCACTGTCACAACATGCAGCAGCTTGTTGAAATCTTTTTATGGAGGATGCCGAACTCTGTTTTGTGGTTGTGAGAAACTGAATGCTTGATTGATTTCCTATTCTTGTTTACAATTCTCTTGTTTATCCTTGCATAGTTTGTGCACACTAAAATGAATATTGTAAAAAAGAAAGAAAAGGTGTCACGTGCAGATAACATGGTTGACATGGAATTGAGTGCAATAGTTGTTGGTCCAGGGTGTGGGGCTGTCTTCCCTGAAACATCATAGAGGATAGGTTGATGAGCGCCAAGCAAAATATTATTTATAAGATGTAAATAATTTGTACCACAATCATATAAATGCTCAAAAACAAAACATTACCCAAAATTGACGAAATATACATTACTTATTTATATTTATGTAATCTGGAAAAAATTACTAGAAATACCTACAAAGGTCAAGGAGCACACAAGGGGGGAAAGTACAGCATTAAATTCTAAATAAGTTTAACTCAAGGAGGACAGGAAAAACATAGGAAGTCTTGAAGAGCACACTCAAGCCTTCTGAAAACCTTGAGAACAGAGATTGGATAGAACAGGAATTGCTGCAAAAAGCACAACAGGCCAGTGGATTGCTGGAAAACGGTAAAGCTCAAATAAGTGGGGAAGCACAAGACTAATTGGAGTGTGGATGGGAAGCAAAGTTCACCAAATCACCATTAATGCTTGCATTATCACAATTTCTTAAAACACAACTTGTTGCTCTGCACATTAAATCTGCCATTTACTGCCATGCTCCACACAAACACCTGCTGCCATGCAGAAAATGAGTTTAACATTCATGAAAATGACACTTCTTTTGTTCAGGATAGAACTGCCCTGCTATTCTTGCTTTTTCCTTCAATCCTGCTTATTCTAAGATCTTGGGTTTGGGCTGGATGCTTGCCAGCTTTTCCTGTTCAGATGTACCAGGTATTTTCTTTAAATCCCTCTTGTTTGATGTCATATTAGTATTTTACTTGCTTACATGATGAAAATATTTGTCAGTGATCTGTCATTGAGTATTATCATTGTCATGATCAGGCCTGGCTGCTATTCCTTTACACTGGTTTGGCATTGCGAGAGAACATATTAAGAGTCAACGGAAGTGATATACGTCCTTGGTATAGTCATTAAACTCAATGTTTGCATGGATCATAGTTAGTTAATGGGTATTGGACTCTTGGCTTCATGCTCATTACTTTGTTGTTCTTTTAATCAAATGAGTGAAAACTGTATTACTTTTATTATTGGTTATTATTCTACCATGCATACTCTACAACTTGCTGTGCCGTGGTAGATAGTAGGAGACATTATTTAATTAGTTAGGTTGTGTGCGTAATCCACAAGCCTATTAGAGAGGAAGGATTAAGCTTTGAGAATATCGAGTTCATAAAGGTTGCCTTAGTGTCAAGGTAGTTAATTTATCAAGAGCAAATATGGTTTCATTAGTGTGGCTGTGGATGCTACATTTGGGTTTCTGCTACTTAATTTATCTCTCCACTCTATTCTTGTCTTTCTTTGGAAGGTACTACAGTAGTACGGTTCAATTTAATTCCTAAGAGAAATTTGGCAAGGGACCCTTTTTTTTATACTTTGCCAGTATTTTCATCTTGCGCTTACTTGCAATGTGTACATGAACCAACTATTCCTAACTTAAGCTATTAGGTAAAGACATGAATGATTTTATATTACATCTCCAGCACAACTCCCACAGAGGTTAGCTCAATGGGGACACACATATATGGGGAGAGATCAAATCGACCAGTGTAACTTTTGACAAATGTTACATGGTTCAATATCTTTCTAGTGGATTATGTTGTATCAAAATTCATCGTTAGATGGAAACTTCTTTTCACGGAGATCATATAAACAAAAATTTATATTAATATAAAATTATTTGATTTTTCATTTATATAAATCAAAATCGACATAATGTATATTTTCAAAATATATATCATTTGATCACTGGTTTGATTTTGACAAAATTTAACGTGGATCAATAAAATTCACTTTTTATATGAAGTTAGTGACGATGTAACATTTGATCATAGTTACACTAGTGTAATTTGATATATGTAAATTCATCTCTGTTATCTATGTCTACCTATATTTTTCATGATTTTCATCTCTTCTATTGTTCACCATAATGATCATAGACTTGTGATTTGCCATAACCACTGGCCATTATCTATTCATTTTGTACCTGCATTTGTAGTTTAGACCTTTTGGAGTCTTTTACTCTTATTTTCTTTAATGTATTTGCTTGTTTTTTGATTGGGAACCTTCCCAAATATCTTGGTGTGCAGTTTAAGCAACCACTAAATTGATGTCTTGGTAGCGTGATATACTAACTTTTACTTTTTTTTTAACACTAATTCTTTGACGCATGTGTAGGTATGAAGAAGTAATTTCCATTGAAATATGTAGTGTTATAAAAGCTCTCTAATGAATTGGAATATATTTCTTTTTGTTGTCCGGTAGCTTGTCAATAGTGTAGAGATAAATTAATTGTTTGGACTATTTGTAGAGTGTTGGGTATGTCCATCTAACTTAAAGATCACTTTTTTCAGGCTGCTTTTGAGGTTTTGGTGGTTAGCAGAATATAGTGTTTCAAAACCTTGACATTTGTTGGATCGAACACTTACCACCAAGCATAAAATTATACTTGATAGTTAGGATGTAACTTTCTACTCACGAGTGTAGGAACCCAATTGTTACAATTAGATTGTGACTTAACCCACCCACAACTATTTCCCCTCAATAGGTTGCAGGAATTGAACTCTGATATCATTTGGTTGGTGTTTGGTTTAGTTGAATGTTGTCAAATGCCAGATTTTCTGTGTTTTATTCTTTGTTATGGGCTTCAGCTCATGGGTTTGTTGTGCATTCCGTTGTCTGTTTTACAGAGCTATTAATTATATTCTTGAGCTAGTAATTTTTTCTTTGACATTTTCTGTATAAAGGATATCTTCCATTTCTTAATAATTCCATTCTCCATCTATAATTTTCTCCTCATCTAAAGAGAGAATTATAAATGAGACACCCCTATCATTTATTCTATTAAATTCAAAAAATGGGAGAAGAATTGTATTTAGTTTGTGTGTTTAGATTGTCACCCTCACAAATAAACTTACTGTACGGTTACAGGTGGATATATCATCATTATTGTGCCATGATAATGGCCCTCGTGAGTCTCACTTGGGAGATTAAAGGACAACCAGATTGTGCAAAAAAGCAGGTTAGTCTCTTAGCCCTGCATATAGGTTTTTCTTCCTTTTACTTGATTGTTATGTAACTTTTATTTATGTCTCAATAATGCATGCAGAGAGGTGTACAACTTTTCCTACAGTGGGCTATGATGCAAGGAGTTGCAATGCTTTTGCAAAATAGATATCAACGCCAAAGACTTTACACTCGTATTGCATTAGGAAAGGTGCCACTCTTGAAAATACTGTATCTTTACTTTCGTTTTCCTTTCCTATTAGTTATATTTACCCACCATTACACAAACTCTCTAACATCCTGCCTAGTCCTTGAACCTCTTTGATTCACAATTTGCTTTTACCTTAGCATGGTCATATCTTTACAAACTTGTTTTCAATCATATATTAAAATTTTCCTATTCCCTGTTTGCATTAATCTTGTAGTTAAATCTCTCGAAGTGTTTGACTGAAAATAAGTATATAGTCTTGATATGTGTTCTTCTCTGTATTTTAGGCTAAGAGGATGGATGTTGTTTGGGGCGAAACAGCTGGCGTGGATGGCCAACTGTGGTTGTTGTGTCCCATACTCTTCACATTGCAGGTAACATGGCTGCTATGATATATGTCACTTTAGATATATTCGCATTTGATATTAATGATCTTATAATGTTCAATAGTTATAGTGTTGTGTAAGCGGCAAATGATTAGTTGGGAAGCAAATATTGTGTTAATTTGCTTTGATGAGGAAATTGTGTGCTTTATTCACATTTTGGAAGTGTGAACATACCTGAGGTTTAACACTTATGAAATATATTTGAGCTCCTATCTTGGTTCAGGGATTTGAGGCATATATTGGACTTTTGTTGCTCAAGACTGCAGTTGTTGGGGTTGTTTCTGAGTGGCAGGTACTAGTTTGTTTGTGTTTTCTATCTTAATTCACTTTGTACATCAATTGACTGATTGGGAAAGAAGCAAATGAATTCAATAATCTTTTGTTGAATAGATTAGCCTTAGCCTTGTAATAATTAGAAACTCTTGGGGCAGGTAATATTTTGCGGTATTCTGTTGGTCTTAATGGCTGTTGGGAACTTTGCAAATACAGTACAGACTCTGATGGCGAAATCAAGATTTAAGGCCAAGATGAGAAGAAGCAAGAGCAAGCAGAGGCTGAATTAGCTAGTTGTCTATTTTTTAGCTTTATAGGATCAGGATTTTTTGCACTCATTTCAGTTTTGACCACAGTGCAAGCTGGTGATATTTTTGACTTCTTTGTAGCATCATCATATTTAACGAGTCTGAGCATAAACATAAATTTGATGGATTAAAAATGATACTATCCTACGATTTCTCTTGTCCACATTTTTGGGTTAGCATACCTTTCTTCCTTAATGTCTCTGGGTTGACGACCTAATCCCTTCATCACTGACAAGATCTACTAGGTACTTACTTAGGTGACTCCACACTCCAAGAATATTATTCCCAAAATTTTAACTGAACCCTTTCTTGGCGTTCTAGTTTTTTCTTTGACCAATTTTAGAACTTTGTAAATTACTCTTTATTTTTTTAACCAGATCATGCTTTTTTTATTATCATGTCCCTAAAATGTATAAATTTATTATTTATATCCATTTTTTGGTCCAGTAACACGTTAGTTTTTAAACTGTAATTGAATAAATGCATACGACGCAAATTTGTAATCGTGATTTCGAACGGTTTTGTACCATCAAAATGCCCTGCTATTAATGACATTATTCTATCATTGATACGATGTGTTGGTCTGTACTGATAAGTGAAAATTTTCTCGGAGTCGCTGTATTTGTACCAACCGGTTTTCTTCTTTTGTTTTGCTGACCATCGTATACTAATAGATAATAATTCATTTGTGGTAATCAATTCAATTAAGCACCTTTTACTCCTATAAATGCTGCGAATCTAATGAGTTCGTTTCCTGCTGCATCTATCGAGAGATAAAAAAAGAAGAGGAATCTATTCACAATGTCCTTACAGCTAATAATAATTTAGTTTAATCAATAAATTATATTGCATCTATCATGTAGTGATTTCCACAATTCAAATATTTAAAAAAGGAGAAATTTAAAGTAAATGTAGTGTTACCGAATCAAAATTAGACGTGTTTTATTCAAGTAAATAGTTTTAAAAAAGACTTGTCTACTCCTTTACAACATCTCCTTTTCTCAAGATTTTTTTCACCTGCGGGAAGATACTTGATTGGCAAGGGTGAATTGATTTGTAACAAGGTAAAAGTGCTTCACCTTGTAATAATATCAGTGAAGTGTCACCTCAGGTTTAACAGTGCCAGATTTGATCACCCTTCTAAAGTTTGCATAAACTTCATGAAAAAAATCAATTTTAATAATCCTTATGGTTTCTTTTCTCGTCGTTATATGTATTTACATTGTCTAATATTCAATTCAGTTGTCAAAAATGCCCATAACAAAACAATCTGGTGGAAATTAAGTACCCACATCTCTTAAATGTGGCTAAGTCTGTTTATTTACAATCAAAGGGGTACATGCTTCCCAATACTATCTTTCAGTAATTGAACCCTTACACCACTTCAGTAATCGAACTCCAGGGTCTATGGCTGCCTTGCTTTGGCTCAACATAACCGTTCATTGTAAATAAATTTTCAGAAAGAGCCATTCCATCAATCTTGGCTATAAAGGATATTGATCATACAACTTGGCCAACCTCAGAAGATCCACCAGACACATAAAATCCAAACCTCCTCCACAACTATCAGTACAATACTGTCCTATAATTTAACCAAATTTACTATGATAATTTTTCACTCATACTCAAGTCATTCATGCAAGTCTCCATTACCCATGAACCTGTTTTATTTCACTAAGCTGCTGAGTTTCCTGAATGGCAGGTAACCATGCAAGAAGAGTTATCATCCCTAGAGACAAATAATACATGGTCTGTTGTCAAACCTCATAGCACATATTCAATAAGCTGCAGATAGATCAGTAAACAGAAAAGCAGCTAGCACTGTAGAAAGGTTAAAATCAAGATTAGTAGCTAAGGGGTTCACTCAACAAGCCGGCATAAGATTTCAGACACCTTTTCCAGTTGTAAAATTAACCATAGTAAGGGTACTTGTCTTTGGCAGAAATAAAAGGCTGGCAATCACTTCATCTATATACATCAAGATTGTTTTTCTAGTCGATATTTTTGAGAAAAGCTACAAGGATCTTCCTATGGAGTCAGGTCTCTAAACAATGGCTTACCAAGTTTTCAACTGCTATCCTTGGCAAAGGCTTCACTCAATCTAAATCTAATTATTTACCTCTTCAAAATAGGATCATGTCTCAATTATGAAGCTCTATTGGTATATGTGGCCAATTTTATAATAGTTAGTCTAAATCCTATAGCAACCATGCAAGTGCAAAATCTCTACAAAAACTAGATCAAGCCCAAAATCTCACGCAACTTCATGCAATTTCTCAGGCATTGGTTTAGCTTACTCCAAGCAAAGAATATACCTGCTCTAAGGAAAATATGAATTACCAATGTTAGTGCATACTAGTTTCATTCATTGCAAACCAGCAATTCAGCCAATGAAGGCAAGTGCCCACCAAGGTGCGACTACCAAATTCTTCATAATATCATTAACTAGTTGGAAGGTTGCTCTATATTATCATTTCTTGGCCAAAAAATTCTTTACTTTCAACATCATGGCTAACCCAAAGTTCCTCATATGAATGCAGCGCATCATTTACTTAGCTATCACAAAGGAACACCTGGCCAAGGTAAAGTTCCTCTTGTGAATGCAGTGCATCATTTACTTAGCCATCTCAAAGGAACTCCTGGCTAAGGTAAGCTATTTTCCTCTTCATCTGCTCATCATCCTAAAGCTTATGCAGAGGCTGATTGGAGAAATAATCTGCATACCCACAGATTCACTATGGGTTCATGCATTTTTTATTTTTAGAAATCACTCAATTCCTGGAAATCTAAAGGAGGTTTTATAGTATTCACTGATCGTATAGTATTCATTGAGTTTCTATTAATAAGTGATAAAACTTGATTCAGATAAAGCCAGTATAGTAGAGTAAGACATTGTTGGGTGTGACACCCTTGCTTACTTTAAAATTTAAACTTATTATCTGAAAATAAAAGTGGGATTTTCTATGCAAATGCAAATGAATTTCTGAACATTATTTTAATGAATTAATGTTATTTACATTCTAACTCACTCCATTACTACCGAGTTAGCTAGTAAAAATTATCTCAAATGATTTTCCAACATGACTGCATCATCGTGTCCTGCTACTTCTTTTGGGGTAAGATGGACCAACAGCCCAAAAAACTACAATTCTCCGGTGAATACAACACTTGAAAGATCATCCCAGACAGCAAAGACAAGAGAAAACCCAGAATCAAAATCCAGTCTGCCTCACACAATGTCAAAATTCATTTCTGACACAGCTAACCATTGCTCATATTAATTAAAATGATAAATTGTCTTACTTTAGTGCATAATCTATAGACCATAATTTCAGACATTACAAAACCAGTAAAAAAATTGTAAAAAGATAAAAACATAGGCATATGAAATGAAGTCCAATGAAAATTAGGGACAGTTACTCAAGCTGAAGGAATAGGAGTGTCCTTGACCGATTCACGCCATGCATACTCCCTTGCACCATCCTTATCAACAATTTTAATAACAAAGTTGGGTGGTGCAACAACCAGCCTGGATCGGATTTCCATAATGCACTTATCAACGAGATCAATTGCTTCTTCAACAGACATTCCACTGTGATAGTGTCTATCCATCATCGAGAGCGAAAAATAGGAGCCATAACCAAAAGCCCCCTTTTCAAGCTTGTGAAGGGTTGCAATGTAGTCAATATAATACAGTTCAGGACCGGTCTCCTTGTCATAACCAGCAAGAAGGATGTTCACGGAGTATGGGTTCTAAACAAAAAAAGCAAATGAAGATTTGAGGCACCAAATTAATTGCATAGTCTAAGGCACTATTTGGAGATGCTTGTCAATAAACATCAAATAAGAATGTATAATGAATCGAGCTCTTCTAAGCTATATCGGAGGAATAGATGAAATAGCTTCTACAAAAGTTAAGTGCATAAATCGATTTAGCTCTAAGGAGAAGCTCAGTTCATTTTACATTCGAATTCGTAAGCACTTAATGAAAATTTTAGGGAAACAGAAGCTAAGAAGATAAAAAAAAAAAAATGAAAATTAGGGTTTGGAAGATACCTTGCGTAGAGCGGTGGCAAGTTCACCACGTGTGAAATTGGCGGCAGCGGCTGTGGTGAGAGGGATACCGTTACGGAACTGATACAAGGCAACATTCTTCTGAATGTACTCTGTGAATTGAACCCTAAAACGAAAGGGAATGAGCGAGAAGAAGAATACTCAAAGAGGGAGGGAGAATGAACCCTAACCCTAACCCTAATCCTAAATACCTGTCTCCGGGTTCACCGCTAGCGGCGATGAGCTTGTGAGAATCGAGGAGCATGATCTTGTCCTCGTTGGACTTGTGGACGAGGATGCTGTGCACCGCCGATGAATCCGCCACCACGATCGCGAACCCATTTCCAACCAATCCGAATACGCACTCCATATCAGATTCAGATTCAGATTCAGATTCTTCTTCCTCTTCTTCTTCGCTATGAGATAGTGAAGTGAGCAAGGTTTCGATGCTGCAGAAGGTTTATACCTCACCGAATTCCTTTGTCCCTTTCAGCAAGAAACTTTCATCAAATGTTTTTCTTTTTCTTCAATAAATAACTTTTCTGTTTAAATTTAAAACAAAATCATAATATCAAAGATAAAAAAATTAAAAAAATGTAAAAAAAAGTATTATAACATATTTTTATACATAAAAATCCTTTAATTTTTTTATTTTAAACTAAGCGAAATATATAATATATATTTTATACTTTGCTTCTTCTTTCTGTTTAGTATTGGGTGTACTTAAATTTGTAGTACACATTTTTCATTTTAGGACTATTCACATATTTGTGATTTATATACAGTATTAACCAATTTAGCTAAACTTAAAATAATTATTTTTGAAATAAATAATTTTAAAAAATACTCACATAAAAAATAAATAATATTCACTTCTTAACTAAAACATGTTTTTTTTTTAAATAAACGACAGAAATATACTTATTTTATCAGATAAATATTAAAAAAATTAAAAAAAAGCTCACTCAATATTGTAAAGAATAACAATTATTGATATTCTCGGTTGAAACTATCATTTTTTTTTTCACGGAGGCTAGTGACCCTATTTGTTTTTAATACTTTTCTTTTTAATTTTTAATTTTTGTTTTCTTGACTTTTTATTATTATTATTATTATTATTATTATTATTATTATTATTATTATTATTATTATTATTTTATTTATTTTTGTAGATGGCCCATTATCACGTAGGATATGCAAGACAAATGTGGGCTAAAACATTATTTGTGTGGTCCGGGAAGATTTGGGCCATTTAAGTTGCGTGATGTTGTTGGACAGATTGATTCGTATACATTTAGCTCTTATGTATGGCCCAAAAATGCAATTTAAAAGTGCGAGATTTATCTAAAATTTTGATAGAATTTGTAATTTTTTTAAATCAAATTATAAGTTCAAAGATTTAATGGTTGAATAGATTGAATTAAATATAATAAAATAATATTTTAATAATATGATAAATATATAATAAATTTATTAATGTTAATAATTTTAAAAATTATTATTATCATTATTATGTTGTAATAAAAATTATAAATATAAAATATATTAAAAAGAATAAAATTAATTATTATTAAAATGAGATAAAAATATAATAAAATAATTATTATTTAAATTTGATATCAATAAAATAAAAAATATATTATATTATATCTTTCATAAAAGAATATATTAAAAAAATTATCTTAAATTATTTTATCTAATAAAATTGATTCGACCTAAAAATCTAATTAGTTTTATTTTTATTTTTTTCTATTGTGTCCGATTTAACTAAAATTAAATTGTTTTAAAATAACAAACTGATTTTTCTGATTTCTGATTCCATCGTTGATTCGACTCTTCTGGACTGATTTTTAAATCAATAAAATTTATACAAGTAAAATATATTTTCCTTGTGTTTGAATAATTTTTAAGTTTTATTTTAGTTGAGAATAACAATGATAACGGGAGTGGATCACACAACTTTGTAACTGGGCATGCGAGATGGCCATTTTAAAAAATAATTATAAAAAAAAATATAGACATATACTAAAGAATAAAACAAAAACCTCGTTATTACACAGATTTTAATGGGTAACAATCAGGCTTATAACAAGTAACTCACCTGAGAGTCATACACGACATATTAAGAATCCGTTTGTTTCTGTTTTTCCTCGTACAAAAATAACTTTAACTTGAATACACATTTTGTAACATCATTTTCAACAACCAATAGTTTCATTTGTTTTGTACAAAACTAAGCTACTTTGACTCCCTACAATTCATGTGAGCCAAGTTGAATGTAGTACTTGTTTGAAGAGGTCAAACATTGAGTTTATATATTTTCTTTTCAATTTCCAACACTTTAAAGAGTTTTTTTATATTATTTATTAATGATCAATGACTTAACTTGAAAGATAAAATATAGGCGTTATTTTAGTGGTTTAGTTGAACAGATTCTCCTTCAATACAAGAAATCCCAACCCATGTGCTCCAATCTCCTTCACGCCATGAGTACAACGGTCGACACCAATACCAAAAAACAATAACTTTAATTAAAAAATAAAATGAATACAGTTGGCTACAGATCCCTTCTCCCTCGCATCATCACACCGTCCCTTATTTTTCTTTCCTAGAAAGTTAAGAAATCAAACGTGTCCTAAACAAATACTATAATTTTCATTTATGTAATGTTTAAATTTAAATTCGAAAGGCCCACAGTTATTATTAAAGCAAGTGTTAGTTAGGTTGGTAACATACAATATACATTAAATTTATTTTTTTTAAACTAGGGTTAAAATGATTGGAAGTGGAATGAAAAGAATGTGGTGTAGTATTAAGCGTTGGTTTTGTGGATGTGTCTGATGAAAGAAAAGCAAAAGAATAGAATAATAAAACAAGGTGGATTGGTTTCTTCTCTCTCTTCTTCGTTTCTTGGGGTCTTTATCTCTTTATCTCTCTATTATTCTTTCCTTCTCTTGGCGCAAACAAAACCCTAACATAGCATCTCATATCGTCTCATCTTTAAGGTAATTTCTCTCTCCCGTTCCTTTCACCTCGTATTTCGCTTCTTTCTGTTCATTGCCTAATTTTGGTTTCTTCCCCCTTTCTCTTAATCCCTCTCTTTCCGTCTTCCCTTCTTCATTTTTTGGGGCCTCTTCGGGTGTTCTGCGTTTGCGAATCCGATTTGGCCTCTATTCCGCCATTCCTTTTTTGGATTCGTCTATAATTTCGGTTTTACAATTCCATTCTTGATGGACCGCAGAGACTTCCACCACCGTCCTGCTCATTTGGTGAGATTTCCCTTCCAATTTCCCGCTGCAATCCATTCCTCTGTCGCTTCCCATTTTCTCTTCTACCACCTTTCTCTCCCTCCTGCCTCATTCTTCACACCCAACTCAAACTCTTTCTTCTACTCATCATATCTTTCTTCAATTTCTCATCTTTAAGGACGATACAATGTTTATGAGATCACGCTCGTGGCAAAATGTAGGGCGTGAATGCCGCATATCTTTTTCTATCACTTTATCCTTCGCATTGCGTTGTGATCACCGGCCCTTATGATCTGATTTTCTGAAAGTCATGGTTTTTGTGCCCCGATTTATTTGTCGCTAATCGATGATTTTCATAAAGTAATCAAATAGCTGGCAATGAGCACTATTGTTTGTTAAAGCTGAAATATGTTAAATATATGTGTACACCTGGTTCGGGAGTTTATTGTTTTTGACGCATGACGTCACGTTTTGGATATTTATGCTTCTTGTGATGATATGTAGGCACATGCTTCTCCTCCTGATTACTTCGTCCGCCAGGGGAATACAACTTACCAAGACGATCTATATTTGAGGAAGAGGACCAGGATGCGTCGGTGGCTTTGCTGCACTTGTCAGGTGGAAGAGTCTTACCCATCAAACGAACATGAACACCTGAAAAGTCCAAGAAATTATGGAGAAAGTGAGTTTGTTAGTTTACTCCTTCGTGTTGTATATTTGTTTACTATTATTGAGAAACAATCAAAAGTAAACTGGAAAGGATTTTCGGTTTATTTCTTTACGCTAGGCACTAGACCATTGGCGTCCATTTTGTTTTCTATTAGTCAATAGTGTGCCGTAGGGGAGCTTTTCAATAGCAGCCATTTAGGCCACAACAGTGGCTTTTTGCATATAGGTGTGCTCTGCCACGATACAGGCTTCAAAAATCCAATTTTATCCATAAAATAAACATTGCTGTTTTGGGGATTTTTTTGTAAACTTGTGATTTCTCCCCCATTTTCTAATATTTTTTGTTCTAAAAACGTGATATTAGATGTTAAACCCTTCTACATCGAGCATACCACAAAATGTTACTTCTGGTTTGACCCCTGCTTCCTTGACACTTCACAGGAATAATTTTTTTCTTCCTCCTTTAAACTTCCCAGACTGTTAACATTCTGCTTTTTCTTTTTTTAATATATTTTGTTATGTTATTTTTCTATGAATTTCACCATCTTCTCTCATTTTCTGACTTCATTACTAATATATTATGTTCATATTGCTCCTAAATTAATGGTGCTTGTGTTTGTAAATTGTGATATTTATCATAAATTTCGTTGATTTTGAGTTCTTTTTTGAATATTTATTTAAATTATTTAGTTTGTAATATAATATTTAAATTAGCTGTCATCCCACTTCCCGCTAGCGGTTTTAGAGCTAGTTACTATTGGATATATAACGATGACTTTACCTAGATGCATCAACAATCACGAGTTCACAATTTTACTTCCTATGGTTCACCATATTAGATGATTGCCCCTTTCCTGGTAAAGGTTACTCATGTTTCAATTATTATTTGCTCCAGGCAACCATAAAGGCTCAAAGGTGTCAACTCCTGTCAAGTCTGAAACAAATAAGGCACCACCACCTATTGAGGCTCCAGCCCTATCTTTAGATGAGCTAAAGGAAAAGACTGACAACTTTGGCTCAAAGGCATTAATTGGTGAAGGATCGTATGGAAGGGTGTATTATGCAACCTTAAACAGTGGACAAGCAGTGGCTGTGAAAAAGCTTGACGTTTCATCTGAACCCGAATCAAACAATGAGTTTTTGACCCAGGCATGTCTCTCGTGTCAACTTTGCCAAACACACTACTATATTTCATTCACTGCAAGTATGTTGGATTCTAGATTTTATTGTCAGTTTATTAGTCTTCTCATTCAGTCTTTTCTATTTCAGGTTTCCATGGTGTCAAGATTGAAGAATGAAAATTTTGTTGAGTTGCACGGTTACTGTGTTGAAGGAAATCTTCGTGTCCTTGCATATGAGTTTGCTACTATGGGCTCTCTTCATGACATATTGCACGGTATATACCTTCATGTTCCTTCTTAGCTTGTATTTCATATACGTTAACTTCCATCAATGATTTTGGTTGTCTTTCTGCTACAGGTAGAAAGGGAGTTCAAGGTGCACAACCAGGGCCAACTCTTGATTGGATACAGCGAGTTAGAATTGCAGTTGATGCAGCTAGAGGATTGGAGTATTTACATGAGAAAGTTCAGCCACCGATAATACACAGAGATATCAGATCAAGTAACGTGCTAATCTTTGAAGATTACAAGGCTAAGATAGCCGACTTTAACCTATCTAATCAGGCCCCTGACATGGCTGCACGCCTTCATTCAACTCGTGTATTGGGAACTTTTGGGTATCATGCTCCCGAGTAAGTTTTGAGAACCAGATAGCACTTCATTTGATATTATATTTTCTCTTTGAATATATGTATGCCATCTTGTGTACTATAAAGAACACCTTTTTTATGTGTTTACACTCCTAGTGCTGCCTGTGCGTGTGGAATTTGACATTGAATCATTTCTCTTGCTGTCATCTCATAAATTTGTTGATGGTTTCTTTAGATATTTTATGGATATCCTGTGTAACTTTGTTTCCTTTTCCATTTTTGCATATTCAATTCAAATGTGCAATCTTTCAATTTTAGTTGATGATAAAGCTATAAGTGTTGTTTGGTAAGTTATTGTAAGATTGAATGAGATTCCATAGTACCTTCTCATTACTGGCTTCGGATGTGGTCCAGTTTTTGCTTAATTACCCCTGTACTTCCCACGATTGGCATTGCAAGTTAAATTGATGTATAATAAATATAAGCAGTATAAATTGTTTTCTTGATTCAGTTTTTCCTTGAAAGGTCTTTATTGGCTTTCATTTTATAGTTTGCCTGTGCGTATGTTGTTCCTGAGCAGTATATTTCACTGTAGAAATACGTTAGTATCCCTGCAATCTAACCCAACATGTGGTTGAACGTGTTTTTTTATCATTGCTATTAGTTTTTATGGTTTGTGTCGTTTAGGGACTCTAGTCCATTTACTACTGAGGAATGTGAATTCCTCGGGAACTCAGAAAACAATTTTTGGCTACTTAGATGTGTTCTTCCATCTTTAATTTATTGTTTTTCATTTCAGTTTTTTTGCTTCCTTTGAAATTTTATTTGGCTTTATCTTAGCTTCTGTGTTACTAAACTTTACAGGTATGCAATGACTGGGCAGTTGACTCAAAAAAGTGATGTCTATAGTTTCGGTGTTGTTCTTCTTGAGCTTCTTACAGGAAGAAAACCTGTTGACCACACCATGCCTCGGGGACAGCAGAGTCTTGTCACATGGGTCAGTGTTCCTGCTTAAACTCATACCTTGTCTCTGATTTTGCATATACCACTGGTGGTCTTGTTGACATGATATTTTTTGTAGGCTACGCCACGATTAAGTGAAGATAAAGTGAAACAGTGCGTAGACCCAAAACTGAAGGGAGAATACCCCCCCAAAGGAGTTGCTAAGGTATCTGTTTCTCTTCCACGCTCCTCTTACTTGCACACGCACATGTGCAAATACTACTTTTTTTGTCTCGTGAATGAAGTTCTGGTGCTTGGATCTTCCATGTTGAGGCTGACATTAACAATACTTATTGTTGACCATGCAGCTTGCAGCTGTTGCAGCACTGTGCGTGCAGTATGAAGCTGAATTCAGGCCAAATATGAGCATTGTTGTTAAAGCACTCCAACCACTTCTGAAGTCTCCAGCTCCTGCTCCAGAAAGTTGAAGCAAATAAAATGCATCTTCTGCACAGCTCAATTCAATTATCCCCAAATTTCATCAAATACTGCAGATATATATATCTACATATATTTTTTTAATTTTTGTTTGAGATTGGATGTGTAGGATTGGATTGGCTCGTTTCATGTCATTGTTAAATTCCATGTATTTATGGCATCGCACTTGTAGTGCCGAGTCTGCTGACATCTATAGAGCCATGATGCCACATAGTTTGGGTTGCGTGGTGCTTATCTGTGGGTAAATGTTGTTTGTCAGTTAACGTTAATTGCCCCCATATTCTTTATTTGTTTCTTGCTATCAAACTGAGTTGATACTTGCCTTGAAAGACCTTCATAGCTTCTTTATTTGTCTATTTTTTGTTTCTTTATTTAGCCCTTCATTCGTGCGGTGTGGTAATACTTTAGTTGTTGGGTTATTAGTATTATTATTCTCGTTCTTGTAATGTTCCCTGTCCTGTCTAGCAATAAGTAATTTCACGGGGATTACCATGTTTCGAAAAGCTAAAATATATTTCTGGGGATTCCCTTTCTCTACACGATTTTAATTGTATAATGGTCCTCACGTGCTAAAATATCAATCCATTTCCTCGGGTAAGTAATCTTTATTAGGAAACATAACTGTACCACCTTTAATAAATTTTCTCATCTCTATCACGATAACAATCAAATTCAAAACTTTATTTTATAAAATTGATTCTAGTGATTGCTCAATCAACTAACTTATTAATACGATAGTGTCTAATTATAAACCGTTTGAAGTATTAATTATATGCTGATATGTATTTTATATATGTCTTCATGATAAATAAGTTAAAATCATGTTTAAATAATAACTAATGTGGTTTCAAGAGAAATATTATCACGCTTAGTCTTGTATTAAGAAAATAATTTTGAGTCGAAGTGAATGTTAAGGTTTTTTGGCATTGGATCAAAACTTTTTTTGAATTTTATTACTGGTTTTCTTTTAAAATAAATACATTTAAACATAAATCACTTTACTTCATTGTGAATTTTAATCAACATCAATAAGATTAAAAACTAATTTTACAAACTTCATTTACAATCAATTTTTAATTTTTAATTTAAATCTATAAGAAAAATGTTTTCTTCACAATTCATACATCTATCTTATAATCCGTTACATTAATATATTAATATTATTTAATATTATATTCTTTTTTTAGCTATTGATAAATGTAACCATTGTCATAATATTACTCCTCAATTTTATAAATATGATTGTATGATAGAGATTTTAAAAAAGAAAATAAAGACTATTGGGTGCATCTTATCGATTATCAACCGAATTGGATACTAATTTTAACATATGCTTTTCATTAATGAGATTTATGATTAGTAATTTTATTATATTTTTAAGCGATAACTTCATTGTTTTATTACGAGTTATACATTAAATATATATATTTTATCTATTTTATTAAAAAAAATACATATGTGTTTTATAATATCCACATGAACGAATTACTTTTAATAATTAAATTTTTTTTAAAATTATGAAATGATTGATTTTGTACGTGCCGACAATGTTCTATGGTTTATAATAAATTATGTACCATTGGGAAACATAGTAGATTGAGTTGAACTCCTAAGTGTACTATGACCTGTATAAACCCTAAACCTAAAGATTATGTATATTGTGATGATTATGTGAGTAAAATTTATATATATTCGAAAATGAAATTGAGTGTAGAGTAATAGTAGCGTTACAGAGAAGAAAAATAGTATAAAAACGAAGTATTTAGGGTGCAGTAAGTTGAAGTGAAAAGCATTGCATTACGCCCTAACTCTATATCGGTGAGCGAAAACAAGGCAAGTGAAAAATTTGAAGTAATGGCTGATGTTTCGGGTTCTTCCCAAGAACAACCCGTTCTTGAATCCGCCCAACTCCAAATGAAGAAGAAGCGATTGCTGGAGGAGCTAGAATCTGCGCTCGCGCCCAAAGATGCCGCTGTCAAAACGGTAACGGCGCTTCCTTCTTCCCTAGCCTTAGGGATCGAGGTCATCGACGAAACGGCGTTGCTCGACTCCGTCGTCAAGAGCGGAGGACCAAAACAACCCACTTCAAGAAGAAGAGGAGGATGCAAGAACAACAACAACAACAGTAACGGTAACAGTCTGAAGAAGATCGAAGAGAGGCCCAAACCGAAGCCGAAGCCCAAGAGTGGGAATAATAATAAGTATTCGCGAAAGGAGTTGGAGGCTCTGAGATTCGTGAACCTAACACAACAGCGTAAATTCTGGAAAGCGATACACTCTGCGTTTCAAAGCACGGTCGCCAGCGAGTACGATACTTTGGCTTCCACTCCTCTTCCGCACAACAAACCAATCCTCAGTGAGCGTTTCTTTCTTTCTTTCTTTCTTTCTTTTTCACTTTGATCGTTTCGGAATTCAAGAAATGGAATCTTTATGTGAATACGCGGCTCTTATTTTAGTTGTCTTTTTACGGAACAATTTTTTGGTGGCTCGTGTTCTGTTTGGTTATCGTGAAGTGTAAATGTTTTCTTTGCATTGAGGTTAAGAATGTTGTGAGATTGGCACCAGATGTATTTCCAATTTAAAATTGCTCCTCGTTGTGTTGCTGTTTCTTTTGATTTAGAATCTTCATTGTTTAATGTTATTTGCTTTTGTACTAGATGTTTGGTGTTTTACTTTGTCTCTCCTTGGTGCTATTCACTTGACAATGACCAGAGTAACTTTGCATTGAACTTGCTTGTACCATTTATCACTTTAGGGTGTATTGCATCAACCATTTAAAAATTGTCTTTTCCCCCCCTTTTTTATATTTTTTTTTCCCCAGTCTTTCTGTCGGAGTTGTTCGTGGATGCCTGTATAAATTCTATGTTTCAAATGGGTTAAGTCTGGGTTGTTGTTCATCATGTCATTGCATTATATTTTAAATTTCTTTTCACTGTTGTTTCAGTGACGACTGGGCTTTATTTTTCATCAATGAGATTTCTTTATTTTTTGGTGGTAGGGGACGTTGGTATAAAATGCTTTTCTCTGCGAAGTATAAACAATTCTTTCTGGGGAATCTCCGAAAAAATTTGTTGCTCCGATATTTGAACTTCTTTTAATACAATTGTCTCCTCCCAGTTTCTAGCTCATATTGTGTCAATTTGATGTTTTCAATTTCTGTGATGGACAGGTGTGGCTGCTACTAACGGAAGATGGAGATATATGAATGTCTTTGTCCATTGAAGAATGAGCAAAAGGAACCTGGAACATATCTAATATGCAACATTAGTTGACTGTTGGCTATGTTCTGCTTGTTACTTAGGCACTGACTTCAGTGCATGGTTTCTTGTATAAGTCATTGTATATGAAAAGTTTTGTGCAGTAGTCTGATTGTAGATTTGAATAATTACTTTGGTCATGCCATTATGACGATGCTTTGTTGAGAATTATGTTGTTGATTTTTCAACACGAATTTCAATTTCTTGCCTACGTTGTGTTCTCAATGAGGGACATGCTTTGTTTTTACCTGATCATTCTTGTCTTTACAGATACTAAATTGTATATTCATTCCCTATTTAACCCTTCCTAGCAAGTTGACAATGCTGGTACTGAAAAATTTGTAATTGTTTTCAGGTGCAGTGTGTTGTGAAATTAGGGATAGTGAATTACAGCACATGAAAAGTAGAGAAAATGTTACTCCTGTTGACGCTTGTAGTCCTAGTCTTATGGGTGAGGATGGGGCCTCAGTTGTAGAGGAGTGTGATGAAGATGATGGCAGTGATGATGATTATGGTAGCATCCAAAGGCCTGCCTTTTTGGTTGATGGAGATCCTAATTTTGATTCTGGTCCACCAGAAGATGGATGGGAATATCTTAGGCGAGTCAGGTATTATCATTACTGTCACCAGCTTTGGATTTTGTTTCTTCTTGATATTTTATCTCTGCTTTCTTTATGCTTTCTCTATGTTAGGAGTTAGAGCAGCTCTATATCAATGGTCTGTTAAATGATGACGAACAGGAGAAAATATGATTTGGCTTACCAACTAGGTGGAAAAACATGGTTCTCAAACTATTTTTGTTTTCTTGAGCAGGTGGGAGGCAGATCAAATTCCAAAAGTTAAGGTAGCAAAACTCGATAGAGGCAAACTTAACAAGGAACAAAGTGCTTACATGCCCAAGATTCCTGATATTGCCAAGTGTCCAGAGCATCTGTTGCCATTGAAACAGTGGGAGGATGTATTTCTTGCTGAATTTTCGACACTGAGAACGGTATGTTCATAAAGAATTGCATGGTGTTTTATTTTACCTCATTCTTTTATTTTTGGAATGACCAATACTTTATCCAGGAGTTAGCGCGATTCTTATGATCACTTTCTGACCTAAACTTTAACCACGTCTTTGACCCGTTTAGAGTGTTCTTAACTGTAACTAATGTACTTGGAATAATTTTTTTTTTATATCATATTGTGTTCTACTGTTTCCCAACTTCTTATTCCAGAATATATCATGCCTTGATGGTTCAAGTGCCATATACTCTGAAAACCTTCGTGTTCATCACTCACAGCTAGTTGGGAATGAAGAATTTTCTGGTGTTGTGAATAAGGATTTGAAAATTTGTAAGACAAATGATGTACCTACTAACTTGACTGCTGAGGATAAGGACATAACACCGTCTCCAGAGAATCCTGAATCGAAAACTTCAGTTGATCACACAAGCAGCAGCTCCCCCAGTCCTCCTTTGCTTTCTGTAATCTTAGCAATGGACTCTGTGACCCGGGTAAAAACTTTGCTGAAACGGATTTGGTTGCTAGAGGGTGCAAACACTATCACAAGAGATGATTGCATGTGGCTTTTTGCTCTCTGTGCAACAGTGGATACTCCACTATACGCTGACACTTGTGCTGCTCTTAGAAGTCTGCTGCGAAAGTGTGCTAGCATCCGTGCCGGAAAGGTTGACCTGGATGAGGAGGTTGTAATGCTGAATATATTGGCTACAATTTCGGGGAGATATTTTGGACAGTCTGAAAACTGAACTACCAGTCTGGAACTTTGTTAAGACACGTCCTCTTTTTGGAATTGGGACATAACTTACAGTGTTTTAGCTGATAGTAATATTTTTTGTTTTTTTAATAATAGTTTCTGCTTCTATTTTCTTTTGGTGCGAATATATATAATTGGCATGTTAAAAACGAAATTAGTTATATTCCTCTATGTGGTATACCTTTATAATTGCTTAACCAAATTAATAATTCTTTTAAGGAGGGAAAACATTAGAGAAAATTTTAGTAAATATAGATTTTTTTTTTAATCTAACATAGTTTTAAATATAATAGATATTAGGAGTATAAAAATAGATTTATGATGGATCGGTTGGAAGGGTTCAATAAATATGTCAAATTGAACTAAAATATTTATTATAATTATTTAGTCAAATTAATAATTTTTTTAAGGACAAAAAATATTAATTTTTTATATATATATATATATATATTAATTTAACTTATAATTTTAAATATAATAAATATTAAGAGTCTCAAAAATGGTTTAGTTCGATAAGTTTGAAGATATAATAAATAGATCATGTTACATTATATATTTTTTATAATTATTTAGTCAAATTAATAATTTTTTTAAAGAAGAGAAACTTCAGATAAAATTTGAGTATAAATATAATTTTTTTAATTTTAACTTATAATTTTAAATATAATAAATATTAGAAGTGTCAAATACATTTAGTTAGATAAATTGATTTAAAATGTCTTAGAAATAATTTAGATTAAACTAAAAAATTTATAATTTAAATTAAATTAGATTTGACTTGATTAGATTATAATCTATATAAATCAAATGATTGATTTGATTTATAGATTAATAGTTTTTGAAAATATAAATAAAAATAATATTATGTTAATAATATATATATATATATATATATATATATATTATAAATTAATATTTTAAAAGTAAATATTAAGATATGTCTTTAATAATTAATAAATAAATAATAATAATTAATGAAAAGTAAATTTATAATTTTTATTTTGATATTGAACAAAATCATTATCTTATATATTAAATTATCATTTTTAAATAAAAATTAATTTCATTAATATATTTTTAATTTTTTAATTTTATGTAAATATTTGTTAACTATTTTTTTATAAATATATTCATATATATTTTTTTTAATTTCAATCAAGTCAAAATATATCCATTAGTTTAATATAGAGTAAAATTAGAAAAAAAATATAGTTCATGTTAAAATATTCGTCAAGACCAAATAATTTTTTTCTTGACCTATATTTGTTAAATATAGGTCAGGTGGGACAATTCTAATAAATACAACAGTAAATATTTTTTTCTTCCCTTTCTAGTAATTACATTATAAATTTAATTGAACACTAAATATTATTAGTGGAGAATACACTTGAGTGGTAAAGCATGCAATACATTGAATAGAATAAGTGAAATAATTGCCAAATTCTTTAGTCTGTCAGCGAGAGAGAAAAGAAAAATAACGAAGCATTGTTTGACCAAGAGAAATTAACGGACAGGTAAAGGACAGACAGTAGATACGGTCGTCGGTTTTTACGTTGGGCTTGGGCCTGGGCATACTATGGTTTTGAGGAGTAACATTTCTGTTACGAGATAACGAGGGAGGATAGTCGAAGGTGTTTTGTTGAGTTAGGAAAAAACAAAGTAACTCCATATGTTCTCTGTCAACACTTGCACTCTTCCCTCCCAATTCCCTCCACCCTCCCCATGCCGTCGCCTCTGCCGCTTCACCGTTATCTGCTCCTCCTTCCGCCGCCGCAGTCGCAGCCGCAGACGCCACAACAAGGTCTCCATCCCCACCACCATCTCCACCTCCTTGTCCGAACCCAAGTTCGAAGCCGTCATCGACCTTACTCCCCTAACCGCTTTCCAATCTGACCTTCGTCAATTCATACGTTTCGGCAGAGACGCTTACATCGATTTGCAAACCCTCCTCACTCTCGACCACAACCGCAGGCTCGTCGTTTCGTGTCGCCCTTCCACGTTGCATTTCCTTGGAACTTCGGCGGCGTTGACCTTGCTCGCGTTTTCCATTTTCAGTGTTTTGGCCCGATTAACTTCTAGGTTAAAATCGTGGCGTCGTAACGAGTATGGCAATAGGCCTCTTGTGGTGCGGAGGGACCGGAGTCTCGGCGGAAAAGAGGTGGTTGTTGCGTGGGGCGAGAGGAGCGATACAAATCCCTTATCGCCGACGGTTCGGGACTCCGTGAAGCGTTCCTCGAATAATAAGGTCCGGTTTGCAAGAAAATTGCCCAAATGGTGGCCCACTATTATCAATGCCAACGGCTCTGTTTTTGACGCCAATGAGCAGCAGGAATACAAGAGGGAGGCTGATAGAGTGGTTCGAGGTTTGTTTTCTCTTCTCTTTTTTGTTTATTTATCTTTTTAGTTTCTTGCGAAACTAGACAAGGATTAGATAAAACAAGGTTGCTTGTCTGTGGCTGAGAATTTGAGATGTCATCTCTCTTTTTAGTTAGGGCATTTAATTATATTAACATCAAATAGAATTATATTTGAGCTTCTTATTATCAGAAAAGATGATGAAGTAGTGGCTACTTTTAATGGGGTCTGCAACAATTCCTTAAGTATCTATCTTCAATTCATGTTGATTGAAATGCATTCTTTAATCGTAGTTTAATTTGTCAAAAGCAACTATAATGTGGTTAATTAGTCCTACTTCTTTGTGTTCCAGTCTCTGGAAAAATAATGATCTCTTAATGTGCTTTTTTTGTAGGTATAGATACGCATTTAATAATTTCTATAGTGTTTTGCCATCCTTTATTACAAGTTGCGACTCACCCACTTGATTTCCAGCAATTACAAACAGTAGACTGGGTGGAAATGACATCATGGAGGATGATGTAATTCAAGTAAGTTCTTTTCCACCTTTTTTTCTCTCCCGGAGGTTTACTAATTATCAAATTATATATAACAGTTCTTATAATTATTTTTGGGAATTTAATATGTGCATTGGGTTTATGTTGGTATTTGTTTTCCTTTGAGTGGTGCCTTGAGAAAGAAAAATCATAATTCTATCGTAAACTCTGTACTATTTAATACTGACTCGTGTCTCAATTTTAACATTCCCATTGTTTTTCCTAATTCGTATACACAAAGACACTTTTTAATTAATATTTAGTAGCATAACATGATATTGCTAATATTTGGTGTGCCGCATAGGATAGATGGTGGCTAAGGTGCCAACATAGCTGGGATTGTTGTCATTATTGTAACGTATTAGCATGCTTTTTTTCCTTTAAAAAGCATGGTAATACTATAATTTTCTGAAATATAAGTGCTAATGTGTATGTTAAGCAATGTCAAATTTTCGTGGAAGAGCATTACGTAATTAAAACACCCACTGGTGGTTTCTGATCTTTTTATCAAGGTGTGCTTATAATGAAAAATTCTATAGTAGAAGAGAATTAATTTGTTTCTCTTCTGATAACACTGGAATTGTTTGGTGCCATACACATGAACAGTTACGTCAACTTTGCAGAACATCTGGTGTGCAAGTGTCTATTGAACCAACAAATATTCGGGACACCTTGTATCGGGCTTCTGTTAACTTTGTTTTAAATGTGTGCAGCAGGTGCGATATTATTAGCCTTTCGTTCTTGTCTTTCTCTTTGTTCTCTGCCAAATGCAACTGTTAATCATGCTGTCTCCTCCTATTTTATGAAATTTGTTAGTGGTCACTCTGTTTCTGTTCAGGGCACCAACATACTCTACTTCAATTGATATTAATGGTGAGGATGCTTCCCAATTCCTTGCTGGGTTTGCTGAAAATATTGGCCTTGAAAATGTTCGTGCCGCAACAATTGTGTCTGCAGCTGTTGCTGCACGCACTCGTTCCTGTCTCCTGCAGGCTTGGGTAATTTTCTTACTCTAACTCAAATGATCTGACAACATTGCGCTTAAGCATTTGGGATTTTATTAAATTACAATTTTTGTGACAAATATTAGTGAAGGCAGTTATATTTCAGTTAAAATATTTTGGTTGCTTATATTAATTTATGTTTCTGTAAATCTTTATTTGAATGTGGTAGAACATTACGCCATTGAATATAACCATTGTGCCTGTTTTCTTCTCTTTGGTGGTCAGTGGTTTGCATGCATGTTAAATCTATAAGTGCATTAGAACAGGTCTTAAAATTGTGATGAACGTTGAAGTGTTGTAACTTAATGCCCAGAATTTTGGCCAGATATCACTTTGTTTCACGAAGTTCTTATTTTTTTTTCTCTGGAATGCATTTAAAATTTAAAATTTATGTATTGTTATTGTTTTCGATTAATTATAGGCTTTGGAAATGCAAGGCAAACATGCTGATGCTATTGTGGAACTATCAAAGATCTGCCTTCTTCTACAAATGTTTCCTCCCGATGAGTGCTCAGTATGTATCTTCAATAGTAATTTGCAATTTTTTCCCATTAAATTTCCGAGCATCGCTGGATGAACATCTGTTTGTTAGTACTTCTCCAGTAGTAGTTCTTGAATTGATTCTTACAGTTAAGAACCATCTTAAGAAGGGTCATGTGGTGGATGTCATGCCTAAGAACTAATTCTTAATTATTGAAAAGTAATTGAGAAGTAACTTGTGAGGGAGACCCATTTTAAAGATATGTAAGTTGTGGGATTAGTTCTTAAGATGTAAAATTTGAGTGAAAAGTCACTAAACATAAAATAGGGCACAAGTAGCATTTGTATCTAATCTATTTAGACATTTGATATTTTCATCGTGTTTCAAATTTCGCTAACCGTAATTTCACTGGTAAACTACAGTGAACAGAATACATTGGGGTAAACAAATCTTCCCATAAATTACAACTGCATATAGGGAATACTGTTAGGACGATTAGGATGAGGCATAACCTTGTCTGTCACATAAATATTATTTATGTATTTTGCTAGTTTCTATTCGTACTTACTGTGGGTATTTCTATGCAGCCTGAAATTGAGATGGTTAGTCGGGGTCTAGAAAAACACTTGAAACTGGAGCAAAGAAAACACCTCATGTTTCTCTTTGGTAAAGTTTGTGGAGGAGAGAGTCACACAATTGCAAGAGAAGCTCTTGGTTTGGTGCGAACCTGTTACCTTGAAATTTAGTTTTTTCTTAATTTGAATTTATTTGTACGATGACAAGGTTTTAGTTACATTTTGTTTTTGTACGATGACAAGGAGAGAGTCACACATTGCATTTTGGAGAAGGTTTTAGTTACATTTTGTTTTTGTACGATGACAAGGAGATGGTGATATGGATGTATAACTCCAAATATTCAAAAGCAATGTTTGTCAGCTGTAGTGTTGAAATTTAGTTTTTTCTTTCTCAGTTTTCATGTTATTTTATATTATTTAACCTGTTTCTTCTTTTGTAGATCCATTTGCAAAATGGATGCTCCGACGAACTCGAAGACATCACGCTCCGTAAAAATTAATCTCTGCTTCCAGCTCGTTTGGAAAAAACAAGATGCATCATTCTAGAATATACATAAGTTTAATTATTTTGACTTCAACAATGTTTTGGATAGTTTATTGAGTAATGTATATGATTATGAGACGATTCTTTTTTTCTTCTTTTTTTTCTTCAATTCTAATTTTTTAATAGTTTTAATGTATTTTTATCATTATTGAAATTTAAAGAGTAAATTTTCATTTGACTTTACATAAACTTTCTCATCTTATGCAGCCAGCTTCATTTGATAAACACGTGACAGCGGACATAATTGCAACATGAAAATGTTTTATAGAAGTAGGTGCTTTGCATGGGTTGTGTCGCCACGAACATGCAATTGGCATGCATGTTCTTGAGAATTTTTTGTCATTATTCATATTAATTTTAAAAAATATATACTATCTTTATTATCATTTAAATACCTGTTTTTCAAACATGATCTTTCTTATTATAATGTTTGAATCCTCTGTCAAATATCTCGGGATTATTCAAATATTCTGTCAGTAGGAATAATATACTTTGTCAGCTTGAATAAGATTATATATGGTTAAGCTTTCTAGATGAAGCGTCGTGATGATGGGTAGGTACTCTCCATTGAACAATGACCTTGTGTTTTTAAAGTTAAAAGATTTTTACAAGACAGAGCTTAAAACTAACAAAAATTCAAATAAAAAGACTTAACAATAATGAAAGTCAAATCTAAAATGAAAAAACATGTTAAACTTGGATTTTTAGAAAATATCATAACACTACATAAAAAAATTAAATATTAAATATTAATCAAAATTAAAAGTTTTATAAATGATTTTTTTGTGTGAAAACCATGAAATAATATTATTAAAAGCTATTATGAAAAATATTTCATAAAAATAATAGATTGATTATGCATCATATAAAATTGTAATAAATTTATTTCATTAATTTAATTAAAACATTAATTGTAATAATAATTACATGGTAAAAATATGTATTTTTATTTATGAGAAGAACAGAAGTTAACTCAATTTTCAAAAGAAAAAGGATAAACAGTATTATTATTAAATGGCATATATAATATATATATACGTGTGTCAAAACTTTATTTTATAATAATATAATTGATAATTGGTAAGAGATATACTTTCTTATAAGACAATAATAAAAATAGTTTTTTTACTGATATTTTTCTTACAAGAAAGTGAATATTTCATAAATTTCGTAACTGTATTCTAAATGTTACTTTTATCACATTGGCCAAACTGTAATAAAGGTCCCTCCCCTAGTAAGATTTTAATAATAACTAGTAATTTTCAAATTGACACCAGAAATTAATAATTGTAAAGAAAAAAAGTTTTTGTGCATAAATCAAATGGTTTTCACAGTTAAATTATTCGTAAGAGCAAAACTTATGGTATAAATTTTGGTGGAGAAAGAAGAAACGAGAATCCTGAAAGTTGAAGCGAAAGAAACGTCTAACCTGAATAGAAGAAATAAGAATAGGAAGAGTGAAATAATAATATGGAGAAGGGGTAATTCCACCCAACCCAACACAACCCAACGAGAGACATTGACACACCAAACTACAAATTCCCTTTGACTCCACTTTCATTCACAACTTTCCACCCAAACACTTTTTTTTTTTTTTTTTTTCATTTTTTTCCTTTTTGTGTGACTTGAAAGCAAACAAATAAAACCATGTAGCGCTCCCTCTTATTCCAAATCACAAAACCAAAACGCTGTCCTCTCTCTTCTCCCTCTCTATATATCTCTCTGCGAATCTAAACTCCAATTTCCATTTCCAATCACAGAAAAAGGAAAGAGGGAAGGAAACACAGAAATCGGATTCGGAATCGTTTTCTTTTTGCAATTCGCGGTCGAGCTCATTTCTCTATTGAGCAACTTCGAATATCTTGCCGGCAGCTGCAGATCAAATCGAGTTTCACCTGAATGCTCCTTCCGGACTCGATCTAGGTTTGTCTTTGCTTCCTCGAATCTGAATTCTACGCTTCGCGCGCTCTTTTATTGTGTCGGTGAAGCCTTAATTTCTTTTGCGTGTTTCGTTCTTTGCAAGATCTCAGTTCTATGTAATACTATTTCGTTTGATTTGGTTGGTTTCATTTGTTATCGTTGGGATCTCTGTTTTCTTTTGGATTTTGCATTTGATTTCGTTTTAGATGATGCTGTCTTAGGCTGAGTTAGAGGAGCAAGATCTGTATTGTTTTGGAGAATGGAAAATGTATAGAGGAGCTTTTGATGAATAACTTTTGTTGATTCCGTCGCAGATCGAGTTCTTCATACCTGTTAGCGTCGGAAGTTATCCATGAAGAACGGGATGATAGAATGCAGTGTTTGCCATTCCAAATTGGTCTCCCCCTCCGCCAAAACTATATCAAGGGCTTATGATCGCCACAAAAGTAGGATAACATCCAAGCAACGTGCACTCAATGTGTTTTTGGTTGTTGGTGACTGTGTTTTAGTTGGCTTCCAGGTGATTACCCTCTCTTAATTGAATATTTCTTCTCGAATACCAAATTAATAATATGGAAATATGAATTTATAGCTATGAAACTCATATTTGTTGGACAATGAACATGACACAAGCACCTAAACTGGTGTTGCTGCTCATGTGCTGCCAGTGAGTATACTCCGTTTACCTGTGTGGATAAGCAATATCTCTTGCATTCACTTTTGGATTTGGATCAGTGATTGGATTTGGTATTCTAGAACCATATATTCTTTTGTTTGCCTTGGATTGGAAAAAGAAATTTCTATCGCATTCATACTTTTAATTTAATGATTTGGAAAGCTAATTTGGTTGGCTAATCTGGAAGTGTATATTTTTTGTGCATGCCAATCTGTTGGAGTGTCATTGCTTACAATATGTCTAGTTGGAAAAGGAATTTGGTTATTTATAGGGCAGGACTCCAAACGCTTCAGGAGAGAGGATTGACTTGAGCAGAAAGAAATTGCCTCCTGATTTGGCCTTGTGAATAGTAAATTAGGGATGCTATGATGGTTGTGATGAAGCATATTACAAACAAACCCTAAAACAATTGCTTCATATGCATAGTTCATTCCTTGACTCGTAGTTTTACTTTTCAATATTCTAATGATCTGATCTTCATTAAAGAGTTCTTGCAACTTTTATGCTTGTTGTTTAGTGTCTGACAAATGTTATTTCTTTTTATTGGCAGCCTATCCTTGTCTATATGTCCAAGGTGGATGGGAAATTCAATTTTAGCCCAATCAGTGTTAATTTTTTGACTGAGATTACAAAGGTTTTCTTTGCTATTGTTATGCTTATTCTCCAGGTTAAGATCACTTTCCCTTGTCTATACTCAACTATTTTATGCCTTTTCCATTACTTTTAAGTGAAGGATCTGTCAAGTATCTAATTTATAGAGGAGACATAGCCCATATATATCATTAGTAAATTTGGATTTCACTAGGAGTGAGTTACTGTTTTTTCTATTGTGGCAGGACATGCCTAGTTTTCTGTGGTTAAGGGTCATAGAATATTAAAATTTATAAACACAACACAAGACTGGAAATAATGATTTCTTAGTTTGTAATGATAATATTTTAGTTACTTTGGTGTCCGCTCCATATAGCAACCAAAAGGTAATCCCTTTGAGGGCCGTAAATCCCCAAAGTGGGTTTTGTCTCTTTCATCAATGTTTTTTCATGCATAGATAGGAATTGAACTTGGTCAACATTCTCAAGGACCTGGTTGCCAATTATGTCATAATTTGTAAGGGCATGAGTGATTTTCAGGCAATGAAGTGGGGTTCAAGGGGCCAGTCTTTCTGAGTGCTCATGAAACTCATTTGTTTTACATTCATGTAAAGTGTAAATAGTTGGTTGATTGTGCAGGCTAGGCATCAAAAAGTTGGGGAGAAGCCTCTTCTCTCAATTTCTACATTTGTGCAGGTACAATGATTTATAATATTAATTTTTGCATCATTTGACAGATCTGTGAGGCCCATTTATACAGAAAATTTCTTAAGCATTTGTCATTTGCTAGCTTCACGGTTCCCTGCTTGGGATTGAACTGGAATACTCAGTTCACATAGTATAAGCATGCTTTGTATAAGATGAAAAAAGAATTACCAACTACTTGGCTACGTTAGAGTGCTGAGTTTATTCTTAGTTCTACTTGAAATAGAAAAAAGAAAATAAAGAACTGATTTTGAGAGCCTAAAATCATCTTCTTGTGTTCTCTTATTTATAGGAGATAAAAATACAGATTCAAAGATACAATTAATAGAGAGACATGATTAATCCTAGAGAAGATAAACAGATACATTCTAGGAACTAGATCTACAACTAATCTCATAAATGTCCAACAAGATACATTTAATCTAATAAATACTTCAACACTCCCCCTCAAGCTGGAGTATACAAATTGAATGTACTAAGCTTGGAACAAATGAATTCCATTCGAGGTCCTCTCAAAGATTTTGTTAATGCATCTGCAAGCTGATCATTGGAACCAACAAACTCAATACAAATTTCTTTAGTCAACAACTTCTCCCGAATAAAATGACAGTCAATCTCAATATGCTTAGTCCTCTCATGAAATACTGGGTTGGAAGCAATGTGAAAAGCAACTTGATTATCACAATACATCTTCATAGATTGAATCTCACAGAAGTTCAATTCTTGCAAGAATTGTTTTACCCAAACAAGTTCACAAGAGACGCCATTGCCCTATATTCAGCTTCAGCAGAGGATCGGGCAACAACGTTTTGCTTTTTGCTTTTCCATGAAATGATATTTCCTCCAAGGAAAACACAATAGCCTGTAGTGGAACGCCTATCCATAGGAGATCCAACCCAGTCAGCATCACAGTACCCAAAAATTTGGGTATTTCCCTTATCTTCATATAATAATCCTTGTCTGGGAGCTTTTTTAATGTATCTTAAGATTCGAATGATAGCATTCCAATGATCCACACAAGGAGCTTGCATAAATTGGTCGACAACACCAACTGCAAAAGACAAATCGAGTCTAGTAATCGTCAAATAAATAAGTTTCCCAACCGAGTCTTCTATATCTTTCTCGGGTCGGAGAAAACTTCATCCTGTCCTGCCATTAACTTCAAATTTGAATCCATAGGACTGTCTACAGGTTTGCAATCAATCATACCTGTCTCTTTTAGAATATCTAGAGCATATTTCCTTTGAGAGATGACAATACCTTCTCTTGATTGAACTACTTCAATACCCAAGAAATATTTTAGATTTCCAAGATCCTTGGTCTGAAAATGACTACACAAGTGCTCTTTTAGCTGAGATATTTTAGCATCATCATTCCCTGTGATGACAATATCATCAACGTACGCAATTAAATAAACATGTTTGCCAGGGGCAGTGTGACAATAAAACACTGAATGATCTGCTTTGCTGCGTTTTAATCCAAAAGCTTGAACAATAGAGCTGAATTTTTCAAACGAAGCACGTGGAGACTGTTTTAGGCCATAGAGGGATCGACGTAATTTACAAACTAAACCAGACTCCCCCTGAGAAACAAATCCAGGAGGTTGCTCCATGTAAACTTCTTCTTCTAAGTCACCGTGCAAAAAAGCATTTTTAATATCCAATTGATGAAGAGGCCAATGACAAATGGCGGCCATGGCAAGGAACAGGCGGACAATGGTCATTTTGGCTACTGGAGAAAAAGTATCACAATAATCAAGTCCATATATTTGAGAATACCCTTTAGCCACTAACCTTGCTTTAAGACGATCAACCTGACCATTGGGCCCAACTTTAATAGCATAGATCCAACGACAACCAACTGTTTTCTTTCCCGAAGGGAGAGGAACAAGCTCCCATGTTTTGCTATGATCAAGAGCCTGCATTTCAGAAATCATGGCTTGTCGCCATCCAGGATGATCAAGCGCTTCGACCACATTTTTGGGAATTGTAATAGAGGAGACAGAGGAAATAAAAGAACAATAGGAAGGAGACAATCTATGATAACTAAGAAAATTGTAAATGGGATGAGGATTACGAGTAGAACGAGTACCTTTGCGAAAGGCAATGGGCCAACTGGAGTCATTGCTATCAAGAGCCGTGGTATTAGAGGATGATGGTGAAGGACCTGTTATGGATGACTCATCTTGGGGAATGGGATTGTTCACCTGGTTCCTGCGTTGATAGGTGATGATAGGCTGTGATGCTGATTCTAGAGTATTTTGGTTGGGATTTGGGGTGTCAGGAATAGGAGGTACAATTGATTCAACTAAGGGAACAAGAAACACATTTTGGACAGAATCAATATCCTGCATAGAATAAGGGAAGAAGGATGATGATTCAAAAAAGGTGACATTAGCAGACATGTAGTAACTCTTGGTTTCAGGAGAATAACACCGATATCCTTTTTGAAGACGAGAATACCCCAAGAAGACACATTTGATAGCTCTAGGTAAGAGTTTATCTAAGCCAGGAGACATGTCATGAACAAAACATATACATCCAAATACCCTAGGAGAAACATGAAAAATTGGTTCCTTTGGAAATAGAATAGAGTGTGGAACTTTATTATCAAGAGAAGAAGATGACATTCTATTAATGAGAAAACATGCAGTTAGAATAGCATCTCCCCAATGATGAATAGGCATATTGGCATCCAACAATAAGGTACGAGCAGTTTCAACCAAATGTCTATTTTTTCGTTCTGCTATACCATTTTGCTGTGGTGTGTGAGGACACGTGGATTGGTATAAAATGCCTTGAGAATTTAGGACATTAGAAAAATCATTAGAAAAGTACTTTTTGGCATTATCACTTCGTAAAACTTTGATTATTTTTCCAAATTGAGTTTTGATTTCATTAAGGAAAGAAAGATAGGCAATAGTTCAGAACGATCTTTCATAAGATAAACCCAAGTACATCTAGAAAACCCATCAATAAAAGTAACAAAATATCTAAAACCAAAAGATGAAACACGACTAGGTCCCCATATATCTGAATGAACAATACTAAAAGCAGAATCACATCTAGATTCAGAATGATTTGGAAAGGATGACCTGGTATGTTTCCCTAGTTGACAGGATTCACATTCAAAAGTTTGAAGGTTCTAAAGTTCAGGAACCATTTTTTTCAATTTTGCTAAATGAGGATGCCCTAATCGCTCATGTAACAGTTTTGGGGATAAGGATGCAATACAAGATACAAATGACTTAGTCCTAAGGTAGTATAAGCCTCCAGATTCATGTCCTTCTCCAATCAGTCGACCCGTACCACATTCCTGGATAACAAAACAATTGGCATTAAAGGTTACTGAGCAATTCAATGATTTGGTTAATTGGCTTACAGAAACAAGACTGAATGGAAAAGAAGGAACACAAAGAACATTTTGAAGGTTTAAAGAAGAAGAGATGGATACTTGACCAATTCCTTTAGAGGATATTTTAGATCCATTAGCTAAAGATATGAGATGGGATGTTTTAGGAAATGAAAGAGAGGAAAATAAAGAGGTATTACCAGACATGTGGTCAGAAGCACCTGAGCCAATAATCCATGGATTTTGACTTTCCACAGATTGCGAAATGCAAGCGGTTGACGAATTTGGTGTTGTAGATGCTTGAGCCAAATTGGTTGATTTCATCCTTAAATATTCTTGATACTCTTCATGAGAGAACTTGGGCTCATCAACTTCAGATTTTGAGGTATTAGCTGCCTTATCAGGAAAGCCGTGCAGAGCAAAGCAATTTTCCTTAGTATGTTCCATTCTTTTGCAATGAGAGCACTGAGGACGTCCTTTCCCACCACGTCCTCTAGAGCTGTGATTACCTCTTCTACGAGCAGAAATCATGGCGGAAGAATCAGCAAGTTTCTGACTGTTTTTGCTTTTGATAGAAGGAACACGAAGTAGTCTTGTGATTAAACTCTCCGTAGAAGGAACTTTTTCTCCAATTAGAATCTGGTCTCTAACATGATTAAACTCTGGATTCATAGCCCTAAGAATCATTACCATATAGAATTTATCCAGCTTCGTCTTCCTTTCTTCTAATGATTCTGCCTCCAGGAACATTTTTAATTCTTCAACAGCTGACTGAGCTTCAACAACAAAGGACATCATGGAATTATCCTCTTACTTAAGGGAGGCTAGTCTATTAGCAGAATCATAAAGTCGTTGAATATCATTAGCAAAGATATTTTGGGCCTTTTTCCAAAAAGAATTACATGTCTTGAAGGTTCGAAGAGTGCTCAAAATATGTGGTATAACATATTATCATAATAGTGCACAAAGTTGATAATCCAGTTTCTTCCATTGAGGAGCCTGATCTGCTGGTATTGTACTTCCATCTTCTTCTAGATGATCATGAACTCCTTGACCTAGAAACCAGAGCTCAACAGAGGAAGCCCACGACAAATAATTTTTTCCATTTAATTTTTCTGTGGTTATAGTCGGAGTCCCAGAAAAAGATACAGACACAGGTCCTGACATTTTCCAGGAAACAAGAAAGGACCAGCGTGCTGTCAGAGAGAGGACCGAGAGAGGCAGAGAGAAAAACGCAGACCCACCACGTTTTGTGACCGAGAACACAAAACAAAGTGCAGATTTGGCACCAGGGCGACGAGGCGAGCCAGATAGAGGTGGCCTGGAGCAAAACAGCCATCGAGAGGGCGGCGCGTGAGGCTCACACGCGGAGGAAGCCGCAGACTAGGGTGGCGCATGGCGGCGCGTGAGGCAGAGATAGAGGAAGCGAACACTGGGGTTGGGTCGCGCTCCTCGAGGCGAGCCAAACCCAAGTGTCAGAGAGGAAAAAGGCGCTGGAGAAGACAACACCGGCGGTGAACGGCGATTAATGCCAGAAAAAAACTGAGACAGGCAGAGCGGGATGAACCCGCTCTGATACCAACTTGAAATAGAAAAAAGAAAATATAGAACTGATTTTGAGATCCTGAAATCATCTTCTTGTGTTCTCTTATTTATAGGAGATAAAAATACAGATTCAGAGATACAATTAATAGAGAGACATGATTAATCCTAGAGAAGATAAACAGATGCATTCTAGGAACTAGGTCTACAACTAATCTCATAAATGTCCAACAAGATACATTTAATCTAATAAATACTTAAACAGTTCTCAATATAGTGAATACGGAATATGTGATAGCATTTTGTTTTTAGGTTTCTCAGCAGTTGTTCTTCATATATCACCAAATTTAAACAATTTCAAAATTCAATATGTAGCTTTGCCCAAAATGCTTTTGATATCTATTTTGTATCTGGTATTTTGTCCCTTGTAGGCAGCTCGTAGCAATGCCCTTCTGGCAGTTCCTGCACTTCTGTATGCTATAAACAACTATCTGAAGTTTATCATGCAGGTAATACATAAGGATTGAGGCTAAAATGCTTGTCACTAGAGATCTACCTTTTGGTGCTAAATGTTTAAGTTTAAGAATCAACAACTTTGTTTCTAATTATGATGAATTCTCATTACTTTTTTGAATACTAGGACTGCTGATTTTTCAGGAGTCTTGGTTTGTTAATTATCCATTAATACTGGGATGATACTAATAGTACTACGCAAGCACTTACCATCATTTTTAAATATAATACATGCTACTGCTTTGTATTGTAAGATATCTGTCTTTTATCAGATCAATTCTGAGATCTTTTCTCTTTTTCTCACTTTCTATCTAATCCCTGTAATTTTAAATGTTCATGTTATATTCGACTGATATTGTGTATCTCTTGGTCCTGTATGATATATTTTCTTGACCGTGTCTGAATGAATGGCCATTGCAGTTATGCATTTATGCGTCTCATATATTGGAGAGTATAGACTCATATTCATTAGTTTAAAAGTAACAGAAAAGAGTTGAATCATATGATGAAATTTGTGACTTACATGTTATTCTTCAGTTAGATTTAAGGTAACTTATGTGTTGATTTCACATTTCATGCAGCTTTATTTTAACCCTGCTACTGTGAAGATGTTAAGTAATTTGAAGGTAATTTCTATTTCTATTTCACTATGCTGAATGGTTGAGTATCAGTATAATATTATTGCCAGCTAAGTAATAAGTTGCCTATGCGTTGCATATGCTACAGCCCTTGTGATGGCTGCTTGACACCTCTCAAGTGAACCAATTACTTATACTCTATTGTTCTTGAATCTTGACTGAATTTTCTTTTCTATTATTACTGGAAATTCTTGCATACTCTTCACTCTCTTGCTTTTCTATTTTTTATTCTTTTGTTATTTTTCTGACAATTATTTCTTTAAACAGTTGGACATATTTTTCTCTTGATAATTAGTTTGCATAAGTTGAATTTGTTGGTAAATTACTCTTGACTTTGCATATTTCAGGTTTTAGTAATAGCACTTTTACTAAAGGTGATTATGAAGCGCCAGTTTTCCATCATTCAGGTTAGTGTGTTAGACTGTTTTGTCTATAGGGATAAGAAAGGTGCCTTATGGCCATTATTTGGTCTTTACTGTTGAACCTTGGGAAGTTGTAATCCTTATATAAATCCCAATTTCTTCTTCTCCTTACATTTTACTGAAAAATTGATATGTTCATTTTGCTACAGTGGGAAGCTCTTGCTTTATTGTTAATTGGTATAAGCGTTAATCAGCTTAGATCTTTACCTGAAGGAACTACAGCTCTGGGTCTTCCTGTCACAATGGGTGCATATCTCTATACATTGATCTTTGTAAGTGATTTGTTATTTATTCGTTTGATTTATTATTACTGTGCTTTTGCTTACAGAAATTTTGGTTCTGTGCTTTAATTTGTTGAACTTTAACCTTGGAATTTGCAGGTCACTGTTCCATCATTGGCTTCTGTTTATAATGAATACGCTTTGAAGAGCCAATACGATACAAGCATTTATCTGCAGGTGATGCATGTGGAATGGCTAAGTTTTTCATTATTGGACTGCATTTTTATTTACTCCTAAAAATATGAGTTCAAAATTGTTTTTCTGCAAAGAATGGGAATTATTATTTCCTCCTAAAGCTGTACTGTCTACAGTTTTCCTTAGTTTTAGTTCAGCCTTTTTATGTTTTTGTCCAAGAACTAATTATTGCCCATTTTTTTAACGCTTGCAGATACTAGCATTATTAAAATTGAATTGTAATTTTATAGTTTGTATTGAAAATATAATCTTGATCACTGAGACCTGAGGCTTTGCTTCTAAGGTTGGGGATTGGATGGGGTTTTGGGTAGATCTCTTAGAAAATCAACATAAATGTTAGAGGAAATTTAAGAGAAATATACTAACAATGATGCTCAATGACTAACTCCAAGAATCATTGTGGCATCCTGGAGGACAACGGAATAAATGGGTTGTTTCAAGAACTGCAGTTTAATGGTGCTAATCTGCTAGGATTCTTTAACTATAATTTTTATCACTTATATATTCATTCTCTATTTCTTGATTCACAGAACTTATTCTTATATGGATATGGAGCTATATTCAATTTTCTTGGGATACTTGGGACTGCTATTTTTAAAGGTTAGAACTATATATATCTCTTATTTCTGGATACTGGTGAACACTTTAAATATGGTATTGAAAAAAAAAAAAAAAAAAACTCAAAAAACAAAGCTCATGCGTTTTATTTGTATAGTAAAGCAAAACAGCTGATAAATTTCCCATAAAAGCTAAAATATTAATTTAAAGGCTAATCTCTTGACTTTCATTCCATGGATGAAAATCAGAGGCACTTACATTTCATTCCATGAATTAAAAGTACTGGAAGATCCAGTGAATTAAACTCCTAGTATTGTCTTGTGTGAAGAAGCTGTACCCAAGTCCTAATCAGTTAAGTGTATACAGTTTCACCTAAATCAAAACAGATCACCGCAAAAGAGCATGCGAGGGAGTTGGCAAGTAATGAGCAGTTCTGTGCTTTGGATTATAGTATCGGTTTGTTTTTTTCATGAATCATTGTGCTCTTTCATGGTGAATGTGTGGCAACAAACAGTCATTTTTATACACAGCATTACACTTCTATATAAACTGATTCCATTGTTTAGTACAATCAGTGATGGTTTAGTTCTGTTTGTTAATTCCATCTCTATATTGATAGAAATTGTCTATAATTTTTACCTGCGGCATATAGTGATACTTCTTCTGATGCTCAAATTAACTGATTTTCATTTTCTGTTTTAAATATTCCAGGGCCTAGCAGCTTTGATATCCTACAAGGTCATTCAAAAGCCACAATGCTATTGATAGCAAACAATGCGGCTCAAGGGATTTTATCCTCTTTCTTCTTCAAATATGCTGGTCAGTACTCAAATATATATTTTTGTTCTTTATGCTGCATTTATTAGAAGCTAAAAGAAAATCCTGGTATAAAATAATTTTTTATCTTAAATTAAATTATGTTGCAGATTGACAGGCTATTTATCCCTTCTCTCAATAACCTATTTATTGTGTTGTAGATACAATTTTGAAGAAGTACTCATCAACAGTAGCAACAATCTTTACTGGTATAGCGTCGGCTGTACTATTTGGACATACTTTAACAATGAACTTCGTTATCGGCATTTCTATTGTATTCATCTCAATGCACCAGGTAAGTTGAATTTGGAAGATTTCTGGTTGGTATCTATGACGATTTTAAAAAAATGACGTTCTCTTCGAATCACACTATAACCACCTTCTTTTTTTCAGTTCTTTTCACCACTTTCAAAAGTCAAAGATGAACAGAATGGTATGCTGGAACTGCATGATGTTGATGTTCATGACAGACAAAGGTACTCGCTAATTTTGTTACCGACCTCAAAATTTTCCTTTTATTAGCTGAGTCAATGATATATGGGTTTTACTTTATTTTGGGTTTCAGATAAGTATTCTATGAATTCGAATACCTTTTTTTATTCCTGATCATTGTATATTTTATTGCTCTATCAACCACCAGCTGATTCTAAGGAAGATGGAAAAAAAATTCCTTAATTGGAAGTTTCTGATAATTAATTGTTGAACATGTCTTATTTTTTTAGGGCAACATGGGGACCTTTTGAAAGAAAACATGTTTATTCTTTCTTTGCTTTTGTTCATTCCAGGTCAAAGGAATCCTTTATAAATATGGCAGCTGGGGCAAATGAGGAGGTGTGGATCTGTTATCTCATTGTTTTGTAATTCAGAGTTTATTTTTTTTAATAATTTCTACTGTGATTGATTGATCAAGGTTTTGTTGTTAATATTTATATTTCCAGGCCACTCATCGTGTGGGACATGATGAGAGACAACCACTTCTTCCCTCCTAGATTGATCTACCGTATGTTCTCTCTCCATTTATAGCCCAAGCTATGCGTGTTAGTGCAAATAAAATATACTTTTTGTCAATTCAAATATCCCATTTTCTAGGGGCTTATGACCTATGAACAATCCAACCATTTCTGGCTATATATCATTGCAGGAAATTAAAAAAAAAATATTTTTTTGGTGATATTGCTGGTAACATTTGACCACTGCACACAGTTTAAAGTGATAATAAAGTTAAAAAGAAAGTTATTTCTGCCTTTCTGGGATAGCTTTCCTCTGATTGGATTCTCTCTACTTGGTTCATGAAGAAAGGCATGAATTCAGGAGCTGGTGAGCAAGCCATGACTTTCAGCTGCTGAAGATTTTGATAGAGCTTAGAGAATGGCTTCGCAAGAGCTTTGTCATATCGATGTGGATTTTACTTGTACTACATATTTTTTTTTTTAACTTGGACTTTTTATTTCTCTTCTTCAATTTGTTTTGATAGTATATTTACCTTATCTTGGGCTAGAAGAATTATTGTGTTATTATTTACATTTATTACATATGATTTTGGCATTTCATCTTTATGAAATTACAGGAAAATAAAAAGATCTCATTAGTAGAAAACGGTATTATAGTGCATATATTGAGAAATATCATGTCTCAAAGCATTTCTCTGCACTTTCAGTCTTAACCAATTTTAATATCATTGTATACAGAAAAACCATACTTTTGAAAAACGGAATTCACTCTTGTATATGACAGAGAATATACTTTAAATTTCTTAAGTTTAAAAACTAAATTCACTTGTATACATAATTTATCAATCTTGAAAACAGAGTAATTCCTGCCATAGATATAAATTTATATTTTTATATTTGATATAGGTAAATTTTGATATTATGTGATTAATAAACAATAAGTTGTTTATATTATAATAAATTACTTTGATTTTATATTTTTATCATCAAATGTTTTTATAACAATTTTAATTTTTTTGTTTATATTTTACACAGAAAACGAAATTTAAATATTGAAAATATATTTAAGTTTTAAACCTATTTTTAAGTTACTTGTATTTTAAATAATTTTTATTCAAATTTATTTAATGTTTTTACTTTTGTTATGATTTTTTTTAATCTTTATCCAGATGTAAATAATATTAGAGACTTCCGACTAATGTGCTAAGGTGTAATGTAAAACATCTTGAAATTTAACTATCACTTATCCATTCATATGTGTTATGTATGTAAGAATAAACATAGGTCACATAGAAATTCAAAGAGTTTTACCATTTATGTTCTTTTTCTTTATTTTACCATTTATGTTCTTTTTCTTTATTTTACTTATACATTATTTTTCCGCTTTCAATCATTTAAATATATCGGTGAGGTAATTGTTCCAATATTCTATCTAAACCAATTTAAAAAATAAAATTAAAAATTATATAAAAATCATATAAAAATATTGCTAATTAATTAAATTAAATTAAATTTTTTATTATTTTAAATTAATTTGTTTTAAAATCAATCATATTTTTTAATTTTTAATTATAATTAAAATTAATATATATTATTAAAATTAAACATAAAATAATATTTTTTATAACTAAATAAATTGATTTTTTATAATTTAAAATATATATTATTTTTTAATTATGTAAAGGATATAAAAAGAAAGTAAAATTACGAATATTATAACTAATTTTAAATGATATTTTTATAATAAAAAATCATTCAAATTAAATTATAAAATATTAATTTAATTTGATTTGAGTTATTTAAAATAAATCTAAATTAAATTCAACCATATTTTAATTTATTATTTAATATAAAATTGAATTAAATCCCACGTTCAAAATTCTTACACTATCTCACAACTCTACGGTAATATTATTTGTCTGTTTTTTCTTTCTTTTTTTTAAAATTAATAATATGGTAACTTTATTAATTGACTGAATATTGGACAGGTACCATCTATATATAAAAATGATTAATTGATGTAATGTTATAATTAAAAGGTATAGAAATTAAAAAATACAAAATTCTTGCATAATTGTTTTAAAAGTTTTAAATTATTGTCTTTTTAATTTTCTTCCTTAAATTTTTTTTCTTATCATAATTTTGTAATATGATAATTATTCTCAATGATATTTTTAAAGTTTTTTCAAACATTTTACAATAGATTTAAATAAGTGTGAATTTGGTAATTCCCTCTATACACCCGATGGTACAAATTTATCTTTTTTAAACCTGTTTATATTTCATATATTTTTTTCTAGAAAATAAATAAACCATTTAAGAACTTTTCTAGTAAATTTGTTTAAAAAGAAAAATAAATGAAATTGTATCCCAAAAGAAGAATAACTTTGAAATCCAGATTTTATAAAATCCTTACTCTTATTAATCTAAAAGAAATGTTCATATGTGTATTAAATAAATAAAAAATACAATTAGAAAAATAATAAAATTCATACTTTTGAGAATCATAATGGGAAGAAAGATTTTAATTATTTAAACAGATGTTGCATTACAGGTAATATGTATTCCCTACTTCCCCCTTCCCTACTCTCCTTGGTGTTGTGTTGGTGAAGCGGCGCATGGGAGAAGAATGAATCCAACCACAGTTTCAATGGATGAGGCTAAGCCATTTTGCAACTCCACACTCTCCACTGCTTCTCACCTTACTCGCTCTGAGCTTTTGAAACGCCGTGTCCACAATCTCAAGCGCCTTTCCAAGTGTTACAGGGACCTCTACTGGCACCTCATGGAATACATCAAGACCCTCTGCAGACACTACCTTTATCACTATGCTCTCCACCCTTTTAGCCATTTTCATCTTCCCACCTGTGCTTTCCTCGATTGCAAGCTCAAGCCCATGCCTTTGACTTCCTTTTGCCACTTCCACATTCTATCCGATTCCAATCAGAAGCTTTATAAGCCCTGCAATTATGTTATCAAAGGGTCTCTATTCTCCTTTAGTCTCATTATTATGCATAATTGAATAGCATAAACATGTCTTGTTTTATTTTTTTTACAACTTATATTGTTGTGTTGTATATAATGGTCTTACTTGCTCTAAAGAGGGACTTGACACAAAAGACATTTTCTTTTATTGATGTTGCATGTCACAGTGGTGAGATGGATTCGGCAGATCATGCAGTGTCATTACGATCAGTTTTAGTTAAACCTTGAATGCTGATATGTACAAATAAACTGGTTACATGTTTGCTCCCTTTTGTTTGTTTTATGCCGTGCTTGTGGATGAAACCTGAAAATCTTATGTAGCTTAACACCTCGTCTTGCTTTTGGTAAAATTTTTTTCTTTAGGACTCTTTTTCTCAGCATAGTCCGAATGATCAAACCCATGATATTCGGTTGAAATGGAAAGCATTTACTTAGTTTAATCTATAATCTATTGAACAAAATTGTATTCATAGTATTTCATTTTTTGTATAGATTCTTCAATCATGTGGTGCTGCTCATTTAAAGATATGATTTATTTGTCCTGTTTCTGCATTATAATTTATAATTATATAAAAGTAACTCATTCAATGTGCCACTGGCTATCCATATTTATGCTTGTGACTGATTTGGCTTATGTTTTCACTTTTCAGTGCAGAAGCTGGATCTATAACCTGCGGGAAACCCATTTTAAAATCCACTGTTCCAGCTCTTTGCACCGTCCACTCCCAGAAGGCTCAAAAGCACCTCACCAGAACTTTGAAGAGGAATACTCTGAACATTTCCTCAACGACTAGAATGGCTCCTAAATTCCATGTATTGGTATCAGAATATGTGAAACACATTCAAGCGAGAAGAAGGAAGGAACTATGGAAAAACAAAAGTAAAATTATGGTTCAGAAAGAAAATGAGGCTGGCCGAGTCATATGAAAGTGGATGCAGATATAATCTGATATGAAAGCCCATGTTGACAAAGCTAATAGAGGCAATATGTTTTTTTAATCAAGCTCTTCCTGCATTGCATGCACTCTCCTTTGTGAAGATCATTAAACATACACCTGGTTTATGTTGTTCTGTCAATTGTCAATTTGAAAAGATAAAATAATAACTTTCGGTTAGGTTGAAACAATATTTTCAATATAAAAAGGATCATTATTGTTTCTAATAAACAAAGTCCATTTTTCTTGTACAAGATTCGTGTATTATTATTGTCTGAAGTTCTCCCTGTTCAAGACAATTTTTGGGTTTGGGTGAGTTTCTCTTTCTCATCAATTGAATCGATCTGTTTCCAATACGCTATCAAGTATCAACATAATAAGTGTAACTATGCATCACGTGACACGCCTAAATATTCTTATTTCCTCATACCTTTATTTATGTCCAAACACTGACACCATCGATTCAGTTCGTTGTCTGAAAAGGCGAACTGTATCGTTGTCTGAAAAGGCAAACTGTATGTAAACCATATTCAACAAGGTTGTCATTTTTTCTTCGATTCTTTCTAGGAACTCTTATCACATGAACATCCGTGACTAGGAACTCCTATCAAATGAACATCGGTGAAGGGTCTCGTGACGAATTTTTGTCGTTTGTCATACATAGATTGCCGTCACTAGTCATCATCATGATAGGCAAAAACTCAAGTTTTTTTATTAACTTGTTTGATAAGCTTGTCAAAAGAAAAAGATAAAGAAGTAAAAAGGGACAAAAATTGATCCACATCCTTGTGAATAGTTTCTTCACTGGGCAACATAAACAAGATGAGATGGTTTGTAAGATTGAAGTATAGTGGAGTAAGCATTAGAACGATTAGTTAATTGGAATAACAAGAAAAGTACAACGAGCAATGCCAATGGCTTCACTTGACCCCGCTTTTCCTCCCTCCAGAGAGCAGAATTGATTCATCTAAGCGACAACACAAACACACACTAATTTTAGATGGGGAAGGGTTAAGAAAAGACGTTGGTGCAGTTAGGTTAGTTACCTAAGGTGATGCAACAAAGTAGTTGCTGAAGCTCTAACCAATGTTGCTTCTCTCACCACTGCATAAAAAGCACTATATATAGAACAAGGAACCAAGAATAGAAGAAGGAGATCCGAGGCGTAAAAGATAAGGTTTTATTCTAATAATATAAAACAAACAACAAAGATGAAACCTGAAAAGAAAAAAACCCTGGACCTCCACCCATCATCGATCGCATCTCCAGGTAAATCAATGAATTCAATGGCGAATCTGAAATGATGACAGGGACTCAGCTGCAGAGCTTGACAGTGCAGGCAACAGCTTGGGCCCAGAACTTGAGCCTGGCCTTGACATCTTCGGGATGGTCACCGGGGCTTGAGATTTTCCAGTTGGCAATGGAGGTGGAGAGTGAGTGAGGCGAGGGGGGAGAGTTATCCATGAATTTCTGAGACATGGAATAACACAACTCCAACGCTGGTAAGGTGTTGCATAACTCAGGAATCTCGTCGTAGCTGAACCCAAATCCCAGATCCAAACACCCCTTCAACTCCTCCAGATCCTCGTCCGTTAAACTCTTCGTCCTCGCCAGATCCTCCTCCACGTACCCTTCCAACAGCACCTGCTTCTTCTTCTCACTCTTCTTCTCCGCCCTGCTTCTTCCGCTCCTCTCCATCTTCTTCTCTTCTCTCTCTCTCTCTCTCTCTCTCTCTCTCAACCTCTATTTATCTATTCCAATCATCTTCCACTTTCCTCATCTTATGGATGCTCTCATGTCACATGTCGTATGTCATGTCATACCATCATCATGCATACTGACAGCTGTAACTCTTCTAACCTAATCTATATCCCTCCTTTTAGGGATTTTCAATGCCACTCACCGATTCTTCAACATCTCATGTGGTGTGGATTATGTGATGCCATTTTCTTTATTTAAACGATACTACCAAATCTCAACCTAATCGAATAATCCATATTTCAACATATATTCTCCTCCCACTTCAGCTTTATGTATTGCGCATGAATCTAATTTCAATATTTTTTTTCACCATATATTATTATTCATGTGGTTCATATCTGATTTCGAACACCCATTGTTAATGTTATGTAGTGGAATGAAAAGAGAGAAAATTTATAAAAATGTTAAAATTGGTTTCATTTTGAAGTTGTCTATTTGGATTTTTTATAGGTTCAATAATGATTTAAGAAGTGTGAAAAGTGAGTGGGTCCCGTGGATTTGTTTGCATCAATAGGATCGGAGGATTGCGCATGTGAGCGTAGCAAAGAATCAATGCGAACCAGGCTAAATTATTGGAACAGACAAATCAAAGGCAACTTTTTTAAAACTCTTCATTCATTGCTACTTCCTACTATTAGTAAAAGAAAAAATCGATAATAGCATCAAAAGAACTAGAGAAAAAATCTAAAATCATATAATTGGTTAAAAAATTGATAAGATTGGTAAAAGACACCTGGTGACCATAAAGATAAAAACACATCGAAAATCAAAATCGAGAATCGAAGAAACAAATTTTGATATATATTGTTGAAGAGAATCGAGAAATTAGAATAGTGCAAAGTTAAGATTAAAGGAAATCAAAAGCAATTCAAAGTACTCGATGTCTGAAATCGAGATCGAGGGAACGGTTAACACGCACATAGAACATGGGAAACAGTTTCTAAACTAAGGCTGATGTCGAAGATCAAAGAGGCAGTTATCTCATGCATGGGAACATGAAATGCAATTTTTTAAACCGTAACACTAAGAGATGTGCGTGATGGATCGTGGTGGCAGTTTTGTTAACTGCTCTTAGGAGGTTATCTGAAGGGCGCTCTATAAATAGAGCGAAACTTGAGGAAGAACGGAGAAATTGGCAGAGACAACAGAAGCGCAAGTGAACAAGTCTGCAGGAGAACGACGCATTATAAAGTTTCTAATGCTCTGGATTTTCGTTTTCATTGATTGCCTTTATCGCTTTCTTTACTTTCCCTGGTAAATTTACTTTCATTGCAATTTATGTTTATCAGCTTTAAGTGTTTGCCTTTTCAATTCCTTGTCATTTATTGTTATGCAAAATTTACTTCTATGCAATGTTAAGGTTATACGTTTAAGATTTTTGCCATTTACATTTCTGCAATTTCGATTTCCTGTTATTTACATTTCCGTAATTTCGATTTCCTGTTATTTATATTTCCACAATCTCGATTTCTTGCCATTTACACTTAATGCAAATTTGAGGTTTCCGTTTTTTACATTTCTCTGCAATTTAATATTCCGCACTGCTTTTCGATTCGACGCTTTCTTTACTTCGCATTTCTTAATAGAAAACATCAAAAATAGTATTTTCTGTACCCTAGGTCATGCCATTTTGCATTATAAGATTCTCGATTCTCATGCATTTTTCGATTGAAAACTAGTTGCTAGCCTAAGTAAAAAGAATCTACATGGTTGAGATTTGATTAGAACTTAACTCCCGATAAATCGAAATCGATCAAATTTTCACCAGAAACAAATTGGCGCGCCAGGTAGGGAAAGTTGTGTCGAAAAACACAAACAATTGGTTAGTTCGAAAGTGTATGAGATTAAGGAGTGGACGAGTATTAAGAATGAGTCAAAATACACCACATAATCAGAATAACAATGAGATTCCAAATAGTTCACATTTGCCAAACACTGGGGGGCAAGTTCACAATGGGAATATGCCCATAATATCGACAAATGTGAGTACGTCGATACCTGTGAGTGCTGAACAAAGCTCAGGCACATCGGTAAACACTCAGTTACGGTCTAGCACTGTAATGTCAAACAATATACAAACTACAGGGAATCCCGTAACAACATATGCAGGACCGCATATGAGTGTAAGACCGCCTGACTTTTCGATTAATAATATGAATGGGGCTAGTACTTCTTCAATACAACGAAGTACGAGATTTAACCTAGGAATGCCCCAAAACTTAGGCACATTTCAAACCTTAGGCATGCCTCAAAATTTTGGAGTATCCCCAAATTTAGGAGTGTCTCGAAATTTAGTAACACTCCAGAATTCAGGGAATGTGCAGAATTTAGGAACGCAACAAACGCCTTCGGTGTCAAACCTAGATCACAGAGCAAACCCGGATCACGGGAGATACCTACTCGATAGAGATTATCATCGATTCAATTTTGAATCTATCGAAAATGCTAGTACTGGAATTTCCAGTAACTCATTAGGAGTACTTCGACAACAAATGGACGAAAGCAATTTCAAGATGGTTAACATGTTATCACAATAGTTGACTACAATACTGAATCCATTAGTTCAAAACACCACTACTAGTTTTGAGATATTAGCAGACCAAATGTCACGTATCGGAGATGCATTGGCGATACCCCGACAACACAAGGGTCGAAAATAATGCCAATCAGAATATTAACCAAAACACTAATATTAATTCCCTTTATTTATTAAGGAGGAATCATCGAAACAATGATCAATATCAGCAGGTTAGGAATGATACTTATGGAAATTTAAGTGAGGGATGTCAAAACATGTATAATCAAAATAACATGCAGTACAATCACCTGGTGGGACAAAGAATGAATCCTCAGGGAGTGGAATTAAGACCACCTCATCAACCATACTTTATTTCTCCTTTTCCAAATATGATTCTCGAGACAGAATTGCCTCGAGGATACAAGATACCCAAATTTACCAAGTTTGGTGGAGAAATTGGCGAATCCACCATCGAGCATGTGGCGCGATACAAAATCGAATGTGGGGACCTAGCGATGAGCGAAGAATTAAAAATGAAATATTTTCCTAGTTCATTAACAAAGAATGCTTTCACTTGGTTTACGTCGCTGCCACCGAATTCAATACACAATTGGATGCAGCTGGAAAGAAATTTTCATGAGCAATTCTTTAGGGGAGAAACTCAAGTAAGTCTTATCGATTTAATGAATATAAAGAGATATAATCATAAAAGCATAGATGATTATTTGAATAGATTTAGACAAATGAAGTTGAGATGTTTTACGCAAATCCCTGAATTTGAGTTAGTCAGAATGGCCTCTGCAGGCTTAGAATTTTCGATTAGGAAAAAATTGGTTAATTTACCATTGAATGATATGACTCAGTTAGCCGACAAAGTGAGAAGAGTGGACAAATTGAATACGAGAAACAGAGGTACAAAAATTTTGAGAAACCCATGAAGAAAGATAAGGTAGCATATATAAATGATATATATGAGGAAAATCCCAGGATAGAAGGAGATATTAAAGAATCTGTCGATGAGAAAGTAAATATAGCAGAGCTCAAAGTAGGAGCCCCATATATTTGTAAACTGCTACAGAAAAATGAAGTGAAAGACAAAATGACAAATCGCACGTATACTTTTGATGTAACAAAGGCAGATAAAATCTTCGATATTTTATTGAAAGATAAACAGATTAAGCTGAGTGATGATCATAAATTACCTTCTACAAAACAAAGAAATGGTCGAAAATATTGCAAATTTCATAATATCTATGGACATTGGACTAATAATTGTATACATTTCAGGAACACGATCCAAGATGCGATCGACCAAGGAAGACTGAAGTTTGAGGAGATGTCAATGAAAGTGGATACAAGTCCATTCGAAGTTCAAGTAGGGTATATCGAGTCCCAAACGGGCATGACTGAAGATGTCCGATTGATGAATTCGACCTTTATAGGTATGGTCGATGTTACTGAAGACATTGATCCCAGACATGTCAGAATGGATATGTCAGAAGAAGACATAGAGTTCAACTTAAGCGAGTTCGAGAAAGAATTTGAAAGAGAGATCTATCCTCGATCAGAAGATTCCCTCGTCGAGTTTTTGAATAGAAAGAAAGAAAAGGACGAAGGAGTGACATTATGTCCACGATGCAGCACGATGTTCGACAGATCAACTGCTAAGGCCTTCAGGGCAGGACAAATCAAGAAAATAGAGAGTCAACATAAAAGCTGTAATGATAAAGTAGATCAAACCATCCAAGCCACGGTGGAGGAAAGTTAGCAGAAATCTGTGGGTTCTGGCGCTAGTAGAAATCAGAAACAATGGGTTATAAAAGAAATATATTCTCCTCGAGGAGGAAGAGGCAGACTTCAAAATAATGATGTTTTCTATAGACTCTCATATGATGAGGGATCCAATACTGGATTTCCTACATTTCAAAGGAGATTTCGAGGAAGGCCTTGGAGGAGAGGAGGAAGGATCCCTTACTGGGGAAGGATCAATAATTATAGAAACTTTGAAGAAAGCAATGCACCAACTGGGGGTCAATATGTAAGAGACTTTGTCGATGACAAAAATGGAGGTAGTTGGGATGGACATCAAGTTGGGGTAATATCGATATTACCCGCGGAATATGTTAGCGAGTATGAGGAGCATCAAGGTCACGTCGATCGAGAGGACGATTTCTACTCCGAAGACATGAGACTGAAAGTCACATGGGTAACACAAGCATCATGCGAAGTACCTCATAAAGATGCTGCTTTTATCGATCCCCCATCAGAAGAAATGAAGTTTCATCTGAAACCTTTATTATTGAACATCGAAATTCAAGGACAGAAGGTGAACAAAGTCCTTGTTGACAGTGGTGCAGCGGTGAACATATTGCCAATCACTATGCTGAAGAGGTTTGGTATCGAATTAAAAGACTTGGTA